CATGAATACTAGATACCAACACGAGTACACGTACTTCTTTAAAACACACAGACTAACCGTATGATTTGTCCTGTTACGATACGAGCAATTTAACAAATGAACAAACATTCAATCAGTGAACGCGTTAATGTGTTCTCTCAGTTCAACGGTGCAGTGAAGAGTCCACACCTCGACACGTCCCGTCTTTGTTGACACTAATTTAACCAACGATGTTTGTTTGTTGGAGCATGGGGACAGTGTTTGTGATCAAATGTGACGTCAGTGGAGTTGACTGTAGGTACCAACCACCCACAGCCTTAACTACAGTCTTCTTATCACCCCACCTTAGCTGTGGCCCAAACAGAGAATATCGACTCCAATCTGTGCTGCTCTGCTGACTCAACATGTTCAGTCCTTCACATCACTGGTTAACATGACCATTTAATTAACCAGGTTGATTAAAAGTCCTAGTGTTTAGATTTTAAATGGTTTGAACTTTTATGACAATGGTTGTTTTGTAAGTACAGCGATTGTACGAATACTGCAGCAGCTGCAGTTGGGGGGGGGGGGGTGCGGGGTGGAGGGTTGTCTCCTTCTTCAGCTCTTTTTCATATTGTCGTCCTGCTAGCCCTCCCCCCACTCTCATATGCGTGACACGTTTCGCCCTTGTTAAATATCAAGACCATTCCTCATCCTAATGGCCTAATGTGAACAGCATCAACAATTGCTACCTTCCTTCTCCCTATTCGGACTTTAATCTCACCAAACCTCCATCCACCCTCCCCACCTCCCCACCTCTGCAGGGAGAGGCAATTGGAGAATGCGGGGCATTGTGAATCACCCTATCATGACAGCAGAATGTCTCTGGATGGGAAATTATAGCAGCTTTACATTGAGCCTGAATATCCATAATAAGATATGTGGATCCTAATGATGGTTGATGTCTGTTTTATGGAGGGATAAACAGGGATAAACTGGTGTCTGTGCTGCAGAACAGACATCTGAGAAACACTGGTCAGGTATTTGTATCCAGGCTCAAATTTGCTGCTTGATCTTTGTCTGTTCACTGGATCAAAAGGTGGATTCTGTCAACTGTCAAAGCTGAGATTAGCTCGTTGTCTTGAGGTGACGGTTGAAACCCTCCGGTGCTTCACGGCTTGGACTCGGTCGGTCTTGTCTCGTCTCGTCTTGATTGTTTTTTCTCATTAAGTTTCCGTTTGATCCTTGAGGTTCCTCCTGAAAATGAGCGTCAGCAGATTAGCGTGCTCCAGCGACATTAAGGCTAATCTCTGTGTTCAAACATCAGTGCACATCATGGAGTACTGCTGAATTGGTCATGACCATATGGGGAACCCAACGGTACCTTGGGAGGACCGTTAGGTGTCAGAATGAGTTATGGAGAGTTTTGATTGGTGGTTCAAACACGAGGACTCAGTGTGGGGTCCATGCAATCACTGCTCACCTGCTTGGCTGCGGTGCTGGAAGCCTCGACGCCTTTATTATATGACATTCATCATCACGGAGCAGACACTGACAGGAAGTCATCAGTCATCTTTGAACTGGGCCACATGATCAAAACTGAGACGTTATTAGTGAACACGCTCTACTCTAACAGTCCAACATTCTAAACTTTATTGTCGATGTTTCATCATAGGTTTGTACAGAGTTCAGCTTCACTGGGTGGATGTTGTTATTCTCTCTTTGTTGGTGACCAGAAACAATCTTCCATTTTTTTTTAATCTCTCTATTTTTAGTCTCTCTATGCCAGCAAAAGACTCCAATCAGATTCTTATTGTAATAACAATGCAACATGTTGTCTATAACATACATTAGTTTTTTGTTACAGACAAAATGAAAAAGAAAAAACAAAAAAAAAACAAAACTGTAATTGATTTGACTGACCTACCCAACTGAGCTAATTCAGAAAATTATGTCTTAGACACTCTCGGGGAAAAAAAATAGGACAGAGAAAGCCAAAGTTTGACAAATCCCTATAAAAGACTGGACCATTACCTGATCCTAGCAGATACAGGACACCTCTGTCCACAAAGGACGACAGATTAGGCACAGACACCATGTGTGTAAGGTCTCGTTCATGTCGGTTCTACAGAATGAGGACAAGAAACTTTAGCTTTATCTAAAGACTGAAGAATATTAGTTTTTTATCTGTTTGAAAACTGAAACTTTGTCCTTCAACATTTGATGTAAACCTACAAGTTGTAGCCCACCCTCCTAATTGCAGTAATTGACTCCAGCCCCCTCCCCTCACCCCGTCCAGATCCTGATATGAATATATGAATAATAATCCTGCCTGAAGTTCAGATGTTTGAAGCTTTTTTTTATGGTTCTCTGGGATTAATGTGGTTAAAACATAATGAGTATGAAAAACATTAGAGTAAATTCTCGTGCAATAAATGAATAATTATCTTCTTTAAATCCTGACTGTTTTTATTGACTAGCTGTGGACTGGCTGCTCAACAACTCTGCACATGGAGCTTTTCTTTCAGCTGCAGCAGCAGCGCCGTCCAATCCTGAGCAGCAAAAACAGTTCAGAGTAGAACAGAAACATAGTAAATATTATATCACCACTGTCCTGAGATGGGAGTTCTCCTGTCACATACATAAAACCAGTGAGGGTTTGTGCTGACCCAGTGGGTCACTGACAGGACACGGTGTGCCGATGCCACAATGTGGACATTTAAAAACTCTGCATGTAAATCAACAATCAAGCCCACCCCCAACTCCCCCCTCAGGCAGTTTTGCCTACTGCAGCTTTAATGACTGTGTGGCAGAACTCAAAGGAAGTGATGACAGAACATCCCAAAAACAAATTAAATCAGTTACCTCCAAAGGGAATAATATTGAAGTACGACATACTGTGACTGAACGTGACGCCGTAGCCTAAAGCTAAATATCACAACAAAGACTCAATGTTGTTTCTCTGAACATATATATACAGTATATATATATATATAATATTCAGATGTGAGAGGAACCAACGTGGACGAATGTGACACAGACTGACACGGTCAGCTGATTAAAGGCTGTCACTTCCTCCCTGCAGCCAGACCTGGTAGGACAGGCAGGACCACCACATCACCACAGCAGCACATTTCAGATAATTTCATCATCAAAGTGTTTGCCTGTGAGGATCTGGCAGCACTGAGGAAAATTAGCTTCATAAGGCAGGACACGAAAGTCACATGTCAACAGAAAAATCCCCCAAAAAAGAAACCAGTGCCCCAGCAGAGGCAGGAAATGGAGTTATCTGCTAGCTGGCTAACCAGTCATTGTCAGGAAAAATATTTTGCCCACACACACACACACATACACACACATACACACACACAATCCTTTAAAAAATGTAATTATTTTTTTCCTCCTTTTTTTGCCTTGGATGCAGTTTAGAGTTGAACTAAATGCACGTGAAGATGATTTTTTTCTTCTTCTGTGAAACTCTGTGTTACTGGCTGTTACTGTCGACCTGAGAGAGACCTCCGAGTATTTGCAGTACTGTGTACTCTGGTCCCGTTGGTGTGAGTTTTACTGCTCTTTGATGCTTTGTCAGACTGCAATGTTGGGACTGGGAGAGAATCATCAATAATTCAAGGACAGTAAATTCACCTTGAGATTGGTCTCCGTAGAGCGTGGATGCGAAGCCTGAGAAGGAAGAGTGCGTGCCCTCTGAGAGCGCCAGGGCTTTATTTTACATTTTCACTCCCCGAAAACTGAGATTTAACAATTCTCCTGCACATCCGGGAGGATTTTCAGCATCTGCAATCAGATGCCTCAGAACGTGATTTTTAAATAAAATTATTGATTGATTCGAATGATCAAGAGGGGCCGTCATAAAAGACAGCTATGGCATATTCACGGCATAAATATAACGAGGGAGAATGCACCTCTGTACCACTGGCTGATGCAGTATTACTGACAGTCAGATCAACTGTCTCTGCCTGATGAGGTTCAGCTGAAGCTCTGACCTTCTAAAGATTGGACTCCAGCTAAGGGCGTCCTGTGTAATTTCCTTCTCGATCCAGGCAGATGACAGTGGTGTCAGCAGCTGCTGCACGATGACAGAGGAGACGCTGCGTCCGGCTCTGTTGGCCAGTTTCCTCCCTGCACGGCCCGGATGAAAGCTGCAGAAAGTTGAAGAGTTTATTTGATCAACTGTGAGTCCTGTTGTGTCTGTCTGTGAAAATCAAAGCCGGACCAGAGCAGGACTTGGAGCCACGCTCCTGCTTTTCTGCTGGTTTTCTGATTTGTTAAGCTTGTCAGAGAGAAACACAATGATGCAGAGAGTGTGATCTTCATCTTCATCTTCATCCTCTAATCAAGCTGGAACAGCAGCTGACCTGCTGACCTGGAACGGTCCGACTGTGTTGGCAAACAAAAATGTGGTGCATTTTCGATCAGCACTTCTTCTAACAACTTTTCTAACTAAAAACAAAAGCCGGAGATGAGCCTCACAACATTTTACGATGCAATTACACTGGTGAAAACAAAAAAGGCTAATTGCAACGGTTACATTCACCGCTTACCATCAGCATGGCTAATTTTAATGCAGAAAATAAACCGGTTTATCCAGCCTCAAAAGAAGGAAGTGGTAGAAAGAAGTGTGTGCATATGGTGTGTATAATATATGTGTATATAGGCATATGTTTGTACATGTGTGTATATAGTATATGTGTATATATGTATACATATATGTGTATATATTTATATGTATATATTTGTTTTTATTTACATGTTACAACCACTAACGTTTCCTCCTCCTCCTCCTGGAGGTGACACAGCTGTGGAGTAAAAATCCACCCTTCTCACAGACTCTCAGCAGCCTCTGACCCACAGACGACTAAAACAACTCACCTAAGAGCGGCCACTCAGACACTAACGTCAGGTGTTGGTGCTCGTCGGTGACTTGTTGCCACTGCAGTGTGCAGCTCAGTACATGGAAGTGAAATGACAAACCTGTGAAAGTTTTGTTGAAAATGTGAAATGAATCTATTTTGTCTTCACAGAGGCATACCTGGGAAAAAGTGTGGCTCCATTATCCTGTCAGCTGAAGAGCTGGGCAACTGCAGGGTGAGTGAGGAGGAATGTTTGTACTTCATCTCTTACTGTGTGTGTGTGTGTGTGTGTGTTTAGTTTTTTTTTCCAAAGAAGTTGAAAGAGACAAACAGTTTTTCCCAAACATTCATAAGGACAGTGATGATAAAGTGGTTCATCCACATGATTGGAGTTGAAGGCAATCAATACAATTGCAACAACAAAGAGACAAGTACAGAATCCATTTTCACTAGATAAGACTGTAAACAGTAGCTGTGAAACAGTCGGTCTTTAAAACAGACTCCAGAGCCACGGATGATGAGGCGGCGGCAGTGATGAAGTAAAGACAGGACGACCGTGAACTGGGTTAAAGCAGCCAGTTGTTCATTAGGGCATGTAGCAGAAAATATGGCAGGGACATGTCCAGACAGGGACATGTCCAGACAGGGACATGTCCAGACAGGGACATGGATGATGTAACACCACTAATCTATATTGTTTTCAATTATGCTGCAAAAACGTTTCTGACATCCAGAATGCATGGACCCTCGCATGGAATGTGTCAAAAACAAAGGCAATAATAGAGACGCTGCTAACTATGGAATAGAATCTGGTTTTATGTGTTGATTGCCTAAAATATCTTATTTGTTATCCATCTTAATTGAATATGTTGTAAATCATGCAATAACTGATCATTTAGTCGATACGATGCGTCCGCAGACTCCTCAGGCCAGAGATTTAACAACTCTTCTTCAAGTTTTTTATCATTAGCCGGCTCCTCAGGCCAGAGATTTAACAACTCTTCAAGTTTTTTATCATTAGCCGGAGCTTCTTCAAGTTTTTTATCATTAGCCGGATAAAGGGCAGTGGTAATGAAACAGTGTGTGGAGGGACAGGAGGAGAAGCACTCCTGCAGGAGATTAATCCAGAAATAGAAACTAACAGCAACAGGGAGCGATGATACATTCTGAGATTTCGTTCTGTGCATCCTGTATCTGTAAACTACAGCCTGATAAATAATGTATGCACCTCATCGCTCCTCCCAGTCCATGTTGGAGCTCGGTGCAGCCCTGGTCCAGGCATCAGAAACAACACTGTAGGATTCTGCTTCACTCTAGTGCAGGAACCTTCACTGGAAATATGTTTTAGAACCTGATGACGGACAAACTCTGGCAATAACTAATAATAACTTCTAATTGTTCCCATATTACACACATAAATATACATATATATCTATATATACACATGTGTATATACTGTATATACATATATACATATATATGCCTAAAAATATATTGGGGCAATGTGTATGTATATGTATTTCATATATATATATGCATAAATATACTATAATACCATGATGTCATTAGTCATTAAAAAACATCATGTATTTCAAATTGTATTTACTTCATATACACCACCATGTCATGCTTGGGTTCACTCAGATCACTCTGAGTAAATAATAAACGCATAATAAACGTAACATTGTCCTCACTGATCTAATCTGAAATGTCCCTTTAACAATGGCACATTAGGCCCTAATTGCAGATGTTTACTGTGGCTGAAGGATGACGGCGTATGACTGTGTAATTACGCCTGACTCATTGTGACCGGTGGCTCCTGTGTGCGTTGCTCAAGCCGTGTTTGGCATTCTTCCTCATGCGCCGGCTGAAGTGGAGTGGGTTATTTGATAACTCTGACTCCAGCCGTTTCCATTCTGATATAACTGTTCCCGTTCAGCTGAGAGGATATGCTGTGTCACTATCCAATTCTGTTTGTCATTTGGAAATTGTGTACTCGGTGAATATGCCGTTAGTTTGAATGAATATTTAACGAGCCTGTTACTAAAGCAGGCCGTCCCTCTCACCCCTGTGGTGTGTGTTAATCCCTGAGTCTGCACTAATAACCTGTGTCCACTAATGCCCGTTGGCTCTCTCTCAGCCATCTAAATAAAGATAGTAAATAATCACACTACACTGCAGTGCTGCCGCCACAGTGCGAGAAATAAGCAAGACTTATCGGCCTCGGCGACTGGCCTCCCTCAGAGGCTGTAAAGCAAATCACTGAGCTGCAACTGGTGCATAAATATTTGATGACGCTCTGATACACTAATACATGTAAAGTGTCTAACGTCTTGCGGAAGGCAAATGTTTTTGTCAAGTAAAACTTTCAATTATATTCCATTAGCTTTTTCTTTTTTTAAACGGTGTCATTTGTGTTCTGTGTCCTGACAGAACAACCTGCTAAAAAAATCTGCAGCTATTACTGTTACTGATGTGTTCCTGCTGGATGGAAGTGGTAGTGCTCACTGTCACCGCGGGGCTGCCGGGGGTCACCAGGTGCAGTGGATGTTTGATGATAGCAGTTAACGTTGTCAATGCTATGGCATTCGCCGCTTTAGAGCTTTGTAATATAAATGCAAATAGTCGTTAAGGCTTCGAGAATCATTTCCTTTTTTCTACTAGATCCAGTTTGGAAGATGCAGTGCAGACATGTGAATGTTCAGCTGAACGTTTTACACAGGACTTAACACTGAATAAAAATAATATGGAACAGAGAGAGAGATGGAACAGCATGCTAAAGACGCTGTCGGAGCTAGCTGAGATGGTTCAGTCAGCGTAGGTAGAGTCAGAGCGTGACTCTGTGAAGCTCTCACCCTGCCGTGAAGACCTGGTTCATGACTGAAGTGAAGTGAAAGAACAAAAGTCAAATTCTTAGACTCTAGAGTCAAACAAGTACTGACGACATTTAGCTTCTGGATTTGAGGGGGAAAAATGTGTTGGCAGCCATGGAGGAACAGCCTGAGCTGAGGCTGTTCTTTTCACCTCCCTGACTGTCAGACACAGCCTGTAAATGATAAAACTCATATTTGAAACAGTGTTCGTTGCATCCACTCATAATAAATACTTTCATTAAAGTTCTTTATTCAAATGCCAGAAAAGTCCAGTTAAGATGTAAAGTGTTTAACTTGTATATAACAGTTAGATTCAGTAAACCCAAAATGTTTGGTGTTTATAATTGCACTAAACAAAAATGCAGAAACCTCTGGTCACTAAATTGGGTTTGAGACAAGTTAACATAAAAAGACTCAAATTTGGTTCCTAAAATCAAAGCGAATTATGAAGATACTCAATTATATTTTAATCTGAGAAAATCCTATAATTTATTATTTTTATTTGCATATATTGGTCAAAATTTTTTTGAAAAAATAAAAATCTCAAAGGCTCAGTGTGGAGCTGATCCCTCCCCTCCCCCAAAAGCTGCCATACCAAACCAGTGAATTATAACATTCTGAAATTGGAACCATGCGTGTGGACGCTGTTGGTCCTATTATCCCACTGTGACCAGTAAATGGAAGTGGCAGAGTTTGTCCCTTACCTGAGGCAGACGCACCTGAGGAAAGGGTGAAAATCTGAGTAGGAAACCACTGGAGAAGCACCGTAGGAAATGTTAACAGACAGCTTCACATATTTGTCAAAAGGCTGCCAGCTAACATCCACAGCATGGGTCAGGGCTCGCTCTCTCGTCTCTGCTGTTCCCTTATCTGTGGCGCAGAAGACACGCTGAGCCGGGGCTGCTGCAATCTCTGATCCTCCTCAGGACTGGGCTGCGGCTCGAGGTGATTCAAATCTTACTGAGCCCCGCGACCGTTTACTCACAGTACGATACGACAGGAAACAACACTGGGATTGACTTCATTGTGTTCACGTATGAGGCAGATTCATTTTTAATGGCCTAGATAAGGCTGCGGAGAAAAATGAATTCAGGTGTTACGAGCATCCTGTGGAATACCAGCCCTGCTTTTAGGGAGTGACGGTGTGCATCGCTCTGCTACTTACCCCATGCAGTGATATCTTGATGGAGCAGAGATATGAGGAGAGTGATGCAGTCTGTGCTCACTATTCCCCTGCTGTTCCCAAACCTCAGAAATGAGGCTGAAATGAATGTTCTGCCTCTTTTCCCACTTAATGAGAACACTGCCTGGCACCGGTGTGAGTGTATGTTATCTGTGCCTAATGAAGGCTTAAGGCGCCATGTTGCCATGATCGCATAATTGCGGAGGCTGAGCCTGGGCTGATCAGAACAGTTGTACGGTGCTTTCATTTTTTTAAGGTGCTGGTAATTGACCTGAACAAATGACTCTTCACTAAAGTGTTGTTTTATTTGAATATAAATCCAAAAACAGGCCCCAGGACTGTGACAGATAGACCGGAGCCACCGAGGGAGTGCTTCAGGTGTGAACTGCACAGCGGTTTGCTCTGTAACCCGACTCGTACACATCCAGCTTTGAAAACAACCTTCCATTATCATGCTCTGTGTAATGTAAGCGATAAAAGCTGAATGCGACAGCAGGAGACGGAATTAGATGTGACACCAGCGACGCAGACGTCGTCGACGGTTTAATCAGCCCTTTTCTCTGCTTCTGTTAACATTTCAGCAATAATGCTTTAATAACAAACTGTAATTGAGACGACAGAGATGATAAATTAGCTAATTAATTTGGGAGATCGTGACTATCATGGAAGAGTCAGACGTAGCTGTTGTTGTGGTGGCTATCTCTCTCTCTCTCTCTCTCTCTCTCTCTCAGCTGATGTGTGTCATCCATCCGTCCCAGGCATCAGGGGATATAATTGGGGTTAGTGAGAGGCAGGTCATAGAGGAATGCACTCCACCTATTTGGGTCAAAGCAGTTGATGGAGGTCCTGTCTGGAATCAAGCTGATAAAGATCTAATGGTTTCACGTCCAAATCCACAGCAGCTGGACCTGCGGTCTGTGACTCCAGGTTTAAATCAAGAAAACCTGATACAATTAACCCAAATGTGTGGAAAGATCTTATCAAGTGATAATCTTCAAATGTGTGAGATAATATTTATGAAAAAAAAAGGAGTCTCTAACCAAAGTAAGACAGGAAACGCCCTGCCAACACTGGTGTTCTGGCAGTTCCTTCTCCGTCAGGTTTTGGTTTCAAGATGGAGCATAAAGTGAACCTCCATCAAAGGCTCTGTCTGATGGGATGAGACACAAGGTTGTGGGAAACTTGACGAGTTAAATTTCAATAACCTCAAAGAACAATGTTTCCTCAGTTTAGGTTTGTTAATTACTACCTAATTATTATTCACTGACATCAGCCTGGAATTAGTACAAGTTACAAACCCACCACCTGTATTAGACAGGGCTCTTCAAATACAGTGGGGGGTTATCTGTGGTGGGGGGTGGTCGGGAGCACACGCATGTGTAGCTGTTCCATGAGTCAAAGCTCTGTTTAGTGTATATTTTTAAATAAAAAATAGATCTGATAATTAGTGGCTTCTTCAGTCCATTTAAGAGGACGGCAGGATGTGACCCAGGTCTAAACTCGTCTCCCGCTTTTTAAAGAGTTTGTTGCAATTTTATAATGACTTCACATTGTGTGAGCTTGTCTGTGAAAACTCTGGACAGCGTGTTATAATGATTTCATAACAGGGCAGAATATAATCTTCTGCCTCTGACCACCGGGGAGACTTTCTGAATCCAAGGTCAGTGTAGGCCACAGTCATTATGCTTACAATAGAGGCACAGATTGAAATGCTGCCTAAATGAGTGTAATTATGGTAATACCAGCCTTTCTACTATATCATTAGCTGCACTCACACCCTCCACATCCTTTATGCATGTTCCCTTCTCTTTATCATGTGCTGTGCCTTAGCTCCATGTCTGCCTCGCTGCGTGCTCTCTCCTACTATCACGTTGATGAGAAGCAGCACAACAGGCCACTTTCAGTGTGAAATCTTCTCTTCCACCTCTGGTTATGCAGGACTTGCATAGTAAAGCAAAGGTGATGAGAGTTTTTGCAGGTTTGGGAGCCTGAAGGCACCACAGCCTGGTGTTCCTCTCTGCTCCTGTACACCGTGGTCAGCACTTTGCTTGTGTTGCCTCAGTGCTTTTATACATGGGCTCACTGGGTGTATAAACAAACAACGGGAAGCAAACAGTGTTAATATCATGGATTTATAACAACATCATTGGCTATTTGTTCTTGTCCTGTCCCCCGACTCCCCTGACTTCTTTTCCTCTCCCCCGTGTGTGTGCAGGATTATTCCACCATGCAATTCTGTGCGAACAAACTGGATAAGAAGGACTTTTTTGGAAAGTCTGATCCCTTCATGGTTTTCTACAGAAGCAATGAGGACGGCACGTGAGTTTGCTGCTCGCTTCTCTTTATTGATTTACTTCGGCCTGTCGACATGAGCTGCAAGGAATGTGTAGGTCGGAGAGGACAATGTTTGAACTTGGGAGAACGAGGATCCAGCTGCAGGAAGATCCAGATTTATGCAGACGAGGATTTGAAGAAATCTTTCATTAGACTGTGGGAGGATTCCCTCTCTCTCTCTCTTTCTCCCTCCCTCCCTCTCTCTCTCCCTCTCTCTCGTGTATTTTAGGACTTTCAGTTCCTAATGACCTGTGTCTCCAGGTTCACCATCTGTCACAAGACTGAAGTGGTGAAGAACACTCTGAACCCCGTGTGGCAGCCCTTCTCCATCCCTGTCAGAGCTCTCTGCAACGGAGACTATGACAGGTATGATGGTGTTCTGCACTCGTGGCGTGATTTTTTCGGTAAAAATCAAAACCTTGTGCTTCAAAATGTTTTTTTTTTCCTCTTCAAAATGGACTCGCTCCGTCACAATAATAATACCTCATTGATTTTCTGCTGATACTTCATCTGTTGCTGAAATAGAGAATTTTTCACAGGGCCGCTCTGAAGTGTGCACTCACTCGCTTGTCAGGCATTTTATCGATGAGGCAACAATTGACAAAAGGCTTTTCCAGCATTTGAAGTTTCTGATTGGCTGCACCAGCGGCATACGCACTCTTATCTGAGTCTCATCTGGGTAAACAGGCCGCTGGAGTTTTGGCAGGAAAATAAATGAAAGGGGAACAGAGTAAAGACGTTTGTCTGTTTTCATCAGTCTGTAGATATTCACAGATGTTACTGAGGGTGTGTGTGTGTGTGTGCGTGTGTGTGTGTGGGTGAGAAGGTGTGCTCAACCCTGACATCCATGCGAATCATCAAAGAGGTTTTCTAACCTCATCCTCTCCACCGTGGTGCGTGTCAACGGTGCTTCATCGCTCAGACCCGTCTCTGCTCACCTCTGCTCCTGAGCACATCAGGTCAGACAGATGGAGTAGAAGGAATTAAATAAACTCCTCTACCTCTGAGAATTTAAAAGAGAAAAAACATTCAAATAAAAATCTAAACCATTTATTAATGCTTTGGTTTTCTGACTATATTTTAAGGAAAAATGAAAAATAAAAAATTGAAACATATAATACATTATTGGTGTGTACATATATATACTGTATATATACTGTGATTCAGAATGTAATACTAGTTTGTACAACTACAAGCTAAGACACTGGACGAATCAATTGAACATAGTTCTGTGTTGGACTGATGACAGCACAGGCAGTAACAGTTAACATTAAATCTAAAGTGTTTTGTGATAAATGTTCTCGTTCTGCGGTTCATTTTGGGGAGAATATTCGCTCGCTGCAGATGGAATGAGTTCAGGTCATGATAGCAGGGAAGCACTCCTGTCACTCTGCGTCCTTCCAGACTCTTTGACACATGATTGACAGCCACAGGCGGCAGGAGAAGATTCTGATCTTGACATCAGATTGAGTGATGGCGTGCATTTCCTTCCGGCTTTTTGTTTTCTCCACCTTCAGTTGCGGAACTTGTTAAAATATGCCCACGTCTGTAAAGTTACTCCACGTTAGCATCGAGAGAAAATGTTTCATCACTGCTGACAATTGGTTCAAACTTGTTTTTCACCATTAAATGAAGGACATTTTTAGTCTTTTAAAAAGACTCCCTATAAATAGACGTGTTTGTTCACAACACTGACAAGAAGCAGCTTTATTGAGTCTGTCCATGAGGACTGACCAGGCTGACACATTCACTTCACCTACGGAAAACCAAATGTGTCTATTTCCTGCACGACATAAAGCTGACTCTCCTGGTTTGATTTATTACAGCCTTCACTCCAGCCTTGGTGTCTTGACTCCAGCTCCTGCTTTTGTTTTGTGTTGCAGGACAATCAAAGTGGAGGTGTATGACTGGGACAGAGATGGAAGGTAATAAAGCCGCACACAGACCAAAGTGAAATCATTAAAAACCAATTCACATCACACCTCACCCCTCCAAATCATTAAAAACCAATTCACATCACACCTCACCCTCCCCCCCTTCATTCCTCCCCTCATTTATACTTTACTTAGTTTAATGAGGACCACAATATTTAATCAAAACCTCTTCTGCCGCAATCAACATAATTTTCCATGAAAACTTATTTCCCTGAAAAATAAATACTTTGATCGTGAAAACAAAATGATCAAAGTAAATCTGTGATTGTTTTTGTCATTTCTGTGGCTACTTTAATATTTCAACTCTTAACCATACTTTGATCGTGAAAACAAAATGATCGAAGTAAATCTGTGATTGTCCGTAGATGACAAATCTTTTTTTTCTCCTGTTTTCATTTCCAGCCACGACTTCATTGGTGAATTCATAACCAGCTACAAAGAACTGTGTCGGGGTCAGAGCCAGTTAAACATCTACGAAGTGAGTCTTTGTCCCGATGAAGCAACACATCGATTCATTTCTTTTCTACAGTGTGATGGTCCTCAGGGTCGCTGTTCTCGAGTCGACCCCAGCTGTTGTCGGGCGAAAAAATATAGACTATAGAGACAAATACCCATGGACACTCACACTCTGTAACTTAGGTCAATTTAAGGTGAACAGTGAAACACGTCGTGTGAAGCAGAAAAGTCTGAAGGCCGTCCATCCATTAATGATCTGTGTCACCCAGTCTTAGAAGAAGTCTAAACTTTAACATTGTCCCAGAACATGTTCAGAAGGACCATCAGTTACCACTGGGAATCAAACCAGTGATCTTCCTGTTGTAAGGCAAGAACACTCACCCGTCTTCTACCGTGTGGCCCCTGAGGCTGATGGGTATAAAAATAATGTTTGTTTATAAATCTGGAAGCTTCTCTGGGAAACAAAAGTTCCTCAGAGGACAAGAGAGCCCCCCCTGGTGTCAGTAGTTAGTAAAGTTGATTTAGAACTAAACCACCGTGTCCTTTGTCACAGCAAGGTCTTGTTATCCAGGGCTTAATGACAGGAAACTCTCTGGGCCGTAGTTGTTGGAGCCACAATGTGGCAATTTAAGATTAACAATGGACCCTCTCTGTCTCCCCCTGTCCCACCTGACATTAAGCATTGGAGAGGTTAAGTGTTGCAGCAGAGCAGAAGACAAAGGCTGCCGCCACTGTGGGCTGAATACCGATGTATACCACTGGGATGATTGTATGAGGGTGTTTTTTTTATCTTTTGGTCCTTGAGTGTCAGATTGGGTAAAATCTATTAAAATGTAGGGCGGCTTCTATCAGCCCTGCTCATTACAACTCTCAGCATGTAGCATTAGCTCCTGAATTAGTCATGAGGAGGTTAAATCCTGGTGAGTATGGAGAGAAGGGAGCCTTCCTCCCTCCACCCTTCATCAGACCTTTTTGTTGTATTTTAATCAGAAAACGAACTGAAGCTGGTCTCATCATGCGCTCTTTATGAGGTCGTTGCCCTTGAAGACGTCTGGGGATGTGATCAACAGCTGACAAATAAGACCGTGGATGGCTGTCGGCCTGAAGGATCTGACTCTGTGGTTAGCCTGACGTACAGTACACAGGGCCTGCAAACATCACATGACACGACACGACATTACTGCGACTGTAGAATAGTTTAACGTGAGCTGATGTCGCCGTCCTCTGCTTCAGTTCTTAAGATCTAAATCTGAACCTTAACTGTGGGTTTCAGGCCAAATAAATAAAATAAATACCATAGTATCGTGGTGGTAATAAACACTGCACTTCTTTAATGCGGCGACAAATTGCTTACAAATGAGAGCAACAGCTTGAGAGTTAATATCCGTGAAAAGGAATTCTTCTTGCCAGATTCATTTAGAACGTGGTTTGTCAGCGTGAAGCTGTCTGTGCGTCGCCTTTGTTTCCACTGGCAACAATGGAATTCAGTGGGCAAAAGTTGAAAACAAATAACTCATTTAAAAAATGTAATGCCCTTTTTAATTACATTGATGTTTTGTTTTTCCAATTACAGAAAGTTATTGATTTCTTCACATAAAGACAAACACTCATTTTCAAAGAATCTAAAAACAGATTATGTAATGTACATGGATAAATATATTATTACATTTATGCCAAATAATGAGAAATGCAAACTTAATTTCAGTGGTGTTGGTACAGTTCCTAAAAAAAAAAAAAAATCTATTATTTAAATGTAATTGCAGCTTTTTGAATGTGGTCGTGTCGAAGCAGTTATTCATTTTCAGTATTGAATTTCAGAGTGTGGAGACAGGGACGGGTCAGTCAACGTTGTCTTACTGGGTCACCTTTGACCTTTGATCTTGTACTGTAACACGTTCTCTAGCCTTGTGCTAAATATTATATTACATATTAAATATTATATTATAAATTATAGTGGCAAAGATTTGTTGTTGCTGATAACATGCTGTCCAATCATCATCATCTGTGATAATAATGAATCCACTTCCTGTCACAGTCACACAGATGTATTCTTCTGTAGCAGCTACATACATCACAGTAGGCGATATCCAGGGTTTTCACTCCGTGTACACACAGATAAACAGCGTGGGCAGAGACATGGAACATGAGCTCCACTGTTCTGAAGCCAGGTAACGTGTCTGGACGCCACTGCACGGTGACGGTGCTTATAGAATCGCACCGTTGCCGCCGGGCGTGATCAATGCTATCTCTCTCTCACCCACTGAACTTATTGGATTGGGCCCATATGCTCCATTACCCATACAGACACGGAGTAGGAGGACAAAGATGGTTTTATTACCCGCCCAAGGGTGGATATAAGAATTCTGCTGTATTTTGCATTATTCTTACCTCTCTCTCTCTCTCTCTCATTATCTCTCCATTCTCTGCCTCCCACCAGGTGATGAACCCCAAGAAGAAAATAAAGAAGAAGAGATATATCAACTCTGGAACGGTGAGGATTGTTTGGAGGAGTGCCCCTCCCCCATCACTCCCCCGAACAGTACCTTTTCCTTTTGCATTGTTATTCATCAGGAAGTTTTAACCAGGTTTAGTTCTGTTTTCCTCCCATTGAGGGAGCTTTACCATTCACAGAGTGAAGTGAAACGGATGGAGAAACATTTTCATTTGTCTGCAAGACTGAAGAGCAGTGTTTGACTTTAACAAATTAACTGCAGCTTTGTCACCGCCCTAGTGTTTGGCGGCAGGACGTGATGACAGTAATTAAAACGTGAGGCCGGTCATCCATCACACTGATCATCCATCAGTGCACTCAGTCACTCAGGCTAAAGTGCTAACTCACTGTGTGTGGCTAAGTCATTGGGGTGTGGATGGCTGGCTCGCAGGTCAGTGTTTACAGATGTGGAGATCGTGGTTTTCTTAATCACTGAGCGTGACACCGTCTGTTTGTCGTGTCCCCTCCAGGTGTCCCTGTTGTCATTTAATGTGGAGTCGGAGCACACGTTCCTGGATTACATCAAGGGAGGGTGAGTCGGCACTTTGTCCGCATGTTCTTTCGTGATTCTTTACTTGTGTCAGTCGCTGCCTCAGAATGTTTGGTCAAAGAGAGCAAGGAAGTGGTGCCGCCTGGCCCCCGCCCCACACTGTGTTCTTCAGAATACTTTCAAACTACATCCTTTCAGTGCCTCTGTGGATTCATGTTTAGTGGAAGGTTCAGTGTGGTCACGTGGTTGGTTAGTGCCTTACAGAAGATCATGAGTGTGAGCCCAGGTGGTATTTGTGTCCAGAGTTTTTTTCTATTCCCTCAGTTTTCTTCAGGTACTCTGGTTTTCTGCCTAACCAGCCACTGTAAGACAAAGCAGTGGGAAATAATGACTCTCATTAGCATTTATGGCCACAACTACACTTGTCCTCTGCATTTAAACCATCCAAGCATAAAAGGGATGTGAGGACATTTTTGACGCCAGCTACTGTAAACCAGACAAGTTAATAACAGAACAGCAGCATCAATCACATGTGACATAAATGCAGTGTTGCACTGTCACGCAGTGGTGACGGTCGTCTTCATCTCACTGAGAAACAAAAACAGCTGGTGAGCGACCACCCACTAAACCCCACACTAACATTTATCTTCTCCTGACAAACCCAGTGGGAACTGACGTGTACTGTTACAACCAAGGCAAACAACACTACAAATAAAACCAAAAACAATCCAGGAACAGATTTTAGCCGCGAGCTACAGTTTGGATCAGCCTCAGTCACCGGCTGTGCTGCTGTTACCACCGGCTCAGATGTTTGATTGACAAGGTTTCACACGTCTTTGTCGTGTCACACATCAAAATCCCTGCCGTCACTTTATTGTGAATTTGACAAAAACAGTTGCTTCCTGAACTGTCAGACAAAAACAAAGTTCAGTCAGGTTTGGTCTGGTTTGTTGATCCTATTTTAGGTGAAGTAAAGAAAAATCAGAGTTTTATTCTTATGTTTACTGATTAACCTAAATTATTTCCATAACTTGTATCAGAGAAGGACAACTGCTGCCTCCTTTACTTGTGTTTATGGGAAATCAGAGTTTTATTCTTATGTTTACTTGTCTTATGTTTATTTGTAGACTAATTTAACAAATATTGTAAGAAATATTGGTCTTTTTTGTTCTATGCTAATGATGCTATTGTGTAGCCTACTGTATTTTGACCTACTTTTTTTTTGTCATATGATAATATTTTGTTAGGGTTTTAGGCTTAAGTTCTGGTATTCCTATTTTATTTGTTTTTAGCCAGCATTGACATTACTTTTGGTACTTTCACCTTAGGCGTATTTTTGATATTCATATCCAGCTATTTTGCTAAATCTTTCCAATTTTGACTTGTTCACAAGTATTGGAGCACCTTTTATTTTGCTATTGCTATTTAACTATTATTTTCTTAAATCATGTAAATACCATTTTTGGAAATTGTTTATATATTTGACTAATTTAATTATTTGTACCTTGAACTTTTGAATCCGTAATGATTTTTAGCTACCTTTCAGCTGATGCTGATTCTGGAACATGTCATGGCATATCATTGGCCCCTATGTGGCAGAAATCCAGCACAAGATGTGGCGTTTTGTTAGCAATGCAACATTTAGCTTAGCATCTAGGCTCTGTTTGAATTTCTGTAGATTGTATCCTGTACAGTATATCCAGGAGTCTTCAGGTAAATATGGAAGGTTTTAGTTGTCAGGCTGAGGAAACTCCAGTAATGACTGACCTGATTGTTAGAGTCCATTTGTATGTGTTGTAGTGCGTAGGGAACGCTCGGCTTACGTGATGAACTCAGAGTTTTGAACTAATTTTCAGTTTGTGCTACTTTCCCACTGTTTACATTTGCCTTGTAAAAAAAAAATAGCAGTAATTTGCGCGAGCTAACGGCTTTATTGAAGTTTGCTGCAGCACAAAACAACATTAGCATGTGTTTGAGACTCTGCAGACTCCGTCACTGTGACTAATGTATGTGCATGGGCCACTGTGTAATTTATTACAGTAGATTTAAATGCATTACTGTGACCCCTGTGATTCATTGTTTTCCGATCTTTCCTGTTGCTCAGAGTAACGTAAGCTCAATTTTGCTTCTACCCTGTGTTACTGTCTGCACTTACTGAGAGAACTGGGATTTTCCACAAGTGGGTTAAGTGCAAAGCAATCAATATGGATTATTCTGATGAGATATGGAAAAGATCCTGAAGCTTAATTAAGGCAGGGAAACCTGTCGTTTGTGTGGGTATCTCTCAGCGGATCAGTGTCTGCCCTGGATTTGAGTTTTGTTCTGCTCGATCAGTGTCTGCCCTGGATTTGAGTTTGAATTTGTTCTGCTGTGTCCCAGATTGGACAGAAGGAATATAATGTACAGTGTGCAGTCTGCACCGCTACAGCAAGGAATCCCATTTACATACAGTACATACTGGATATGATGTTAGTGGTTTCTGACAGTAAATGTCAGATCACAAGAACAGACATCTAAGTTATGGCTAACCTTGAATAAAGCTGGGGTTTGCTGATGCTGCAGTGTGTGCTCGTCACACCCACCAGTATTTCTCACATTAAATTTAAGATGGCATATTTCTGCATTTTTTAGAGGAATAGAAACTTCGCAGCATCAAGTGACAGAAGGCATTCTCAGGAAATGGTGAAATAAATGTCTAGAATATTCCACCGTAATAAAAGAGCTAAAATAAGATTAACAACATTCTACCTTCAGAGATCATTTTGACTAAATTATTAACTAACGTTTCAGCTCATTTTTACTCCCTAAGTAACAGAATTATATTCTGAAAGAAATGCACACCAGAAATACTGCACACCCCAAACCAGAAATATATTATTGTCAATGAAAATGTTTATTAATAAAAAAAAAAATCCTACATAGTGTCATAATGAGTTCCAAAAATGCTTGTCATACAGAAAAAGTGTAAACAAAAATGCATAATGAGTTCCAAAAATGCTTGTCATACAAAAAAAGTGTAAACAAAATGCATGAAAAAAAAAAACAAAAAAACATAAGTCAGAGGCTTGCTCAGGGTGTAGTACCATGGATGCCCAGCAGGGTTTGGCACCTACAAATGTTGCTCAGGGTGTAGTACCATGGATGCCGGGTTTGGCACCTACAAATTATTAATTTAACTATAACTATAACTAACTTCCTTTGGGGTCAATTTAGTGCCATCACCAAGACTAACTTTAAAAAAAAATTATATCATAATAAGACTGATGCTATAGCTTTATGTTTCGTGTTATTTCGCGTTCACGGTTAAAAGTAAAAAGACACCAGTTTTTTCACTTTATTTTAACACTCTTAACTTAACTTTAAACACTTCAGACACTTGTTTCCTACAGAGACATAACAGTCAGGTGTTTCCACGAATCTGATCATGAATAAACAAGTCAAATCCATCTTCTGTGAAATGTGAAGTTAATGTGCACGTGTTGCTGAAGGACGTTCCTTTGTTATTTATTCTCTGTATTTAAACGCCACAGCAGGACGGAGGAGCTGAAACATTAATCAGTTTCAAGGTTAACACTACGGCTTATTTATCTATAATAGAAGCAGTAATCTTCAACTGCGAGTGTTGAGGCGATGATACCAGACGTTAGAGCGTCCATTAACTGTTGGAACCAAGCACGAAAGAAGAGTCCTTTCATTCTCTGTCCAAGATAATCAGAGATGTTAGAAGGGCTTTCTTTCTTCTGGTTTCTGTCCTGAACGGATGTGTTTGACTGGTGACAGAAACACTCATCATCACAATCATTCCAGTTAATGTAAAAATCACCAAACAGGTCACGTCAGTATTGTGTTGTGATCTTTTTTGAAGGTTCTTTGAAACGCCACGGAGACTGAGCTTCCTGTTTTCCTCGTTTCCCTGATGTTTTTATGGGAGAAGTGGTGGAAGTATGTCATCAAAATCTGACAGCAGTGAAGAGAATAACAAGAACAACATTTCACTGCTCTAACTCTGGGTCTACTGCTTTATAATTGTCAGTCTGTTGGTTAAATACATGTACCTGTTTAATGAGAAGTAACCAGGGTATTTCATGATTGGGTTTTATTCAGATTTATTTTCATTTGATTAAAAAAATGGATCCTCGTTAGAAATGTTTTGATTCAGTTCTAGACGACCTGTGGAGCTGCTCTCAGTTTGACCTGCAGGTTTCAGAGAAAACAATTACAGTGAGGTTTGATTTTAGTCAATAATAAAAAAAAAATCTACTTCAACTGTTGTGGGAGTTAATGTCTAAGTTTTAGTATTTTGACCTAGTCGGCTGGAATTGACACGCCATATAGGAACATACATTAGCCGAATCATAAAGAATAGCGCCACACAGTGGCAAAGGTGATTGATGCTTTTGCTTCATGCAAATTAAATCACCAGTTCAGGTCTTTCTGTATGGAAGTTGTGTGGTCTTCAGGGACCGTGGTTCACTCCAGGGACCGTGGTTCACGTCTCACAGTCAAAAAACATTAAGACTCAGTACTGACCGTTAGTGTGAATATATTTCTTCATAAATCTTGCCAAATAATGTACTTGACATTTTTTTATGTAATGTCGGTGCAGTAACAATCAAGGAAATGGGAAATAACTGCTGTGACACAGAATGACAGATTTGTTTGATATAAATCAGCAGTGATGGACATGTTCCACTGGAGCTGATCGTCAGGATAGAGCAGCCTTGTTTTTATTCATACATCGTTACCTTGTACGTCTGCACATCAATGACAGACTGACAACAAAGGCTTTCTGTTGTCATCACTGTCATTTTTGAAAGGGTCACTCCATCATTATGTTGCGATATTTCCTGAAGCTCAAGCTTCCAATCATCATTCAACACTCACTGCGGCAGTTACAACAGTCCCTGCTGTTATCACTGTCTGCCTAATGTTTTCTTGGGGAAATTCCAAAACCACGGAAGTCCCTGTGCATTTAATTCTCTAACAGATAGCATCGAAAACACGACAGCTGCAGACAAAATACCTCGATGTGTTTATCATTTGTTTAGAAGTGCCGCGGTTTCCTGCCAAAATGTCTCTCCTGTTGCCACAGCTCATTGTGTGGTGAAACAGATGCAGTGTTGGAACGACGTTCATTCACAGATGATAGAAATGTGCTGCAGACATATGAGATTCAACAAACCATTCTGCTCTTTACCCAAATGAATTCATGACCTTCCGCTGTTTGACTTCATTTTTATTCTCATTATGAATAACTTTACTGTTTCTAAAGTTCCATCAAAGCTCTGCTGATTTCCCCCTATTAGAACTGTTTCTTTCTGTCACTGGTGTTTTTTTGAATTCCAAAGCTCCTCAAATTGTTCTGTGTTCTGGGTGAGTTAAAATAACATTTATATTCTCAACATCAATTTGGAATCGTCTCCATTTTAATTGAATCAGTGGTGAGATAAGCTGTCCAGTCGTCAGTGTGAAGCACCGTGCTGTCGAGATCTTATTACGGTTTAATAGTTTCATTCCAAAAAAATTGCGTCTCGCACCAAAGTGAGATAACGATGCAACAGGCGGTTAAATATTTGTAGAGAAAGATCCGGAATTTTCCACACGGCTTCAAAATGTCTCACTGCAATAATATCTGAACAGAAAGACAGCGTAATATTTGCAATGTCCGGTCTTCACTCAGTTTCACATTGTGGTTCGCTGTTTGATGGACGTCTCATTTTGTTCCGCAGTAGAACCATTCTCTGTAGGTCCGGGTGACGATTTATAACCTCCAATACCTTTGAATGTAAAAAAAAACACATCTTTGAGGCAGTTTTGCTGTAAGAATTTCCATGTTACCATAAGGGATAAAGTCACATGGGCCGAGGACCGTCAGCTTATCAACATAAACTGAAAGACAATGAAAACCTGATCTTTTGTCGATGATTTTTATCACATTTATGAATGTTAATGATTTTTGTTGATTAATCACAATTAATTGACGGATCGTGATAGAGTTGGACAAGGTCAGTTGGTCTGTAAACACATTTCCTTTTGGTCTCATGAATAAGTTTCCAAATTGTAGGTTTGAGGGTTTTTTTGGCAACAATTTTATGGGCGGCTTCTTTCCTGAAGTTGTTGTTTTTTTGTGTGTAAATAATAAGAACAGCACTCCCATTTGTCCCATTTGTCCCATTTGTCCCCTGCTACACGCTGTAGTGTCAGATTTAAGCACATACTGTTGTGCAGCTGTCTTCTCCTCCCCGCATTTTACAGCATGTACAATATGGCACCTAACCCAGATTTGCTGTTCTGCGGGGAATTCACATCATAAAGATTCTTGACATATGGTGTTTGTGCGACTGGAGGGAAAAAGTCAATATGAAGCAGATACATCTGTGTCTAATTTGAGCTACGGCTATAATTCAAGGTGACGCCTGGACAATTGGAGAAGCTTTCATTTTAGCCGAGAGAAGATTGAAAGCTGAGCGAGATACCAGAGACAAAACTAAAGCTCAGCCAGAGAATTACTGGATCTGCTCTGCTGGAGGATTTGAACTGAGTCAGGTTGTGAGAGGACGCTAAGAGGCAGGTGTCAGATTTACGAAGTCACGATCAAATACAGGAAAAAGGATGACACTCCATTAATTAAACCAAGAGATAAGTGCATCAGTACAGAGAGAGTAAAACAAGTGAGGGTCAACTGAAAAACTAGCCGCTCTCAAGGACCGTAAATTGATTGTTTAAAAAAAAAAAAAAATCATATTTATAGAATCTGGTCTTCAGCCGCCCTTGTAGGACGACCTGCAGACCCAGCACTGCTGCAGCATCAGTCAACATCTAGTCAGATTGATTTTTTTTGTCACAGCTTAAATAAAACAGGCAGTAGAATTCCCAAAGAGACAAGTATGTAAGTGAAGAAATGTTGAACAGCAACATACAGTTTTAGTATTTATCACAGTTTGTTGGAACGTTTGCCTCAGAGCTGATAGAAAGTGACATCATGGCCGTATAAAAAATTGAACGTTTAATAACTTTTGAGAGGGGATCAGATTTATCTGTAGCTCCATCTCATGTGCTACAGATTAGTAAGTTTGATGAAAGGATAACAGCTAGAATGAAAAAAAAAGGTTTAGAGGACAGTAGTGAGATCTGCTATGACATGTCATTTGGAAAAAGTCTAAAAGAAAGGGAAGTGAGCTGGAGTTGGAGCAGGAAGATGCCCAGGGTTTAAAAATAATCATAATGTTCTATTGTGTGGCCATAAAAAGCTTCTGCTAAAATACTGTTGTTTGAAAATAATTAAATTGCATTGATTTTCCAATGTAATTGATCTATCCGTGTAATTTGTTTTTAATCTGATCAATAGCCTGGCCACTGTCTATATAATATACATCTAGTTCTGCACAGTGCTGCGGTTCTTGTTCCTCTAAATTCTTGGACTGAGGAATCGATGCGGTGGTTAGCCGAGCTGACTCCAGTTAAACAGTTACTGTCTGAAGCCGACATTCATTCTCAGACAGTAGCTGTCTAATTAGCCGTTTGATTGACAGCTCCCTTGTGGTCTCGTCTACAGTCCAGCTCTGGGCCTCAGCACAAACTCACCTCTGTGATTCTCTGTTGCCAAATATTCAAAAGTCCCCAGTTCCCAACTGAAGCAGCGCTCCGCTGTAGCAGTTCCCCTCCGTCAGCTGGCACAGTCCGGCTCAACGCTGATTAATGAGCCGGGGTCACAGTCTCCTCGCCGGGCCACCATTATCTCTAGTACTGTGCTCATGGTAATTTCCGAATTCGGGGCAGAATCGGAGCAGGCAATCAGAGCTAATCACAATGAAAGAGCACAATCTTTGATCTCGCTCGCCTTCTCTTTACTCTGCATGTCCGTCTGATAACGAAAACAAGTGAATCCAGCACAGACTCATTTGGCCAGGTTTGGTTTCTTTTCATGGTTTAGGCTGTGATTTCAAGGTCATTGAAAAAAACCATCATTTTCTCTGCCCTTTTTTTTCATATTTTCTACCACAAAGTTGCACTGAACAGAAAGCCTTGATTGTCGTATTGAACAGAGTAATTATCACGAGGACGAGGAGCATCAGAGCAGCTGTGGTCTGCCTGACTATAATCTAATGTACAATGCTCTTGGTTGTGTAATCACTCTTCAGTCTTTGTGGGTAGAATAAACAGTGTGTCTGGAGCAGAAATGATTGGGTTTTTTTTTTAATGTTTCAAAATTGCCAATTTCCTGTTCCTGCTCCATCATAGAATCCATGTGTTGCTGTGACTGAACGTCTGGCTTCTCACACTTCTGTCCCTATAAATTAAGCCAAGAAACGTTTGTTGGACCATTGTGAAAGTAGAAAGTAGGTCAGTGACTAGCACTGCACCATTGTTTCAGTTTGGTCACACCTTGTCTCTGACTGAGAGGCACAGCCAGGAGCAGAGTAGACTCCAGGAACATGACTGAAGTGCAGCTCTGAGGATTCCTGCATGATTCTTCGTTAACTTCCTCCTTTCTCCTGTCAATCTGTTTCAGGACGCAGATTCACTTCACAGTGGCCATTGATTTTACTGCATCAAACGGTGAGTTATTCCTCAGCCCTCGCCCTGCTCTGCTCTGCCTCCACGTGTCACGGTCTGATGTATGACTGCAGCACAGATGAAGGATGTTTCTCTGTTGTAATATTCTTCCGTTTAAATCGATGCGGCCGTAAATGCCTCCTGCACACGTTTAATCATGTTTAGACAAAGATGAACATGGTTAAAATAAGCAAACATTAGCAGTTGAGGGCACCACAACAAAATATATTCAGGTAATTAATGTCATACTTCCATGTACAAAGGTGCATCAGAATAAATGAGAGCGTGGGCTTTTATTAACATTTACTTCTGCTTCAGACTAAACTCCATTTCCTAAAAGGTTTGGACGACCTGCCCTGAGGAAATAAACTCAAACTATTATTTACTGGACACAGTGACCTGGAAAGTCTCTTCCTGTTTATTGACCGCTGTTTTACAGCAGGACTGTTTCCAGTACAATACAAACTGATGCTTGAACGTCATGCACATTCAGCAGCAGTTTTCTCCTTGATCTTAATGCAAAATGTTTCTCCTGGCACTCTCTTCTTAAACTTTTACCACTAACATCAGAGGGACGCCTGCGTTAAAATGGAAATACCACACAAGTCAATATGGTTCTTTAATGTCCCTGGTACTTAACCACTGGAGGGGGCTATTGTAGCCATTATGTGAAGTAAAATAGCTGAATTTAAGACAGATTTTGGTAGATCATAACACACCCACATAATAATAATAATAATAATAATTTGAACTTTATTGATCCCATATTTTGGTAATTCTACAACCGCTACACTATGGAACCGACTAAATGTCGGTTAAATGTTGAAATAGACACTTATGGATAAGACAAAAATATCATTTTTTTTCAACATGTTTTATTCCATTTTTTACAGAAACAGCAAACACATCATCCATCTGATGTTTGACCGACTGTAACCAGAGAATTAATATTAGACTGATGACTCACTTCTCACCCACAGAACTGCTCTTGTTTTCCTGTTCAGTAACTATCACAACACTGCTCATTACCAGCTGCACAGAACTATCCAGAAGCTCCACTTCAGTCTGTGTTCACTCATGTGTCTCCCACCTCGGCTGTCAGTCTGAACTCACCCCTCTGGTCTGCATCACTGACTCTGATTCCTCTTGTCTTGAAAGGAAATCCGTCCCAGTCTACTTCCCTCCACTACATGAACCCATACCAAATGAATGCCTACGCCATGGCCCTGAAGGCCGTGGGAGAGATTATCCAGGACTACGACAGTGATAAGATGTTCCCTGCGTTGGGTTTTGGTGCTAAGCTTCCTCCAGATGGAAGAGTCTCCCACGAGTTCCCCCTTGTGAGTAAATGATCACGTGTATTCCGACTTATATGTATAAATTTAATGTCAAGAACTCGATGTGACAGAGAATGAATATTTCCTGTTGAAACAAACCTCCCAGTGGTGTTTAAAAGTGGGAGTCCTGTTGAAACAAACCTCCCAGTGGTGGGAAGGCTAATGTGTGTGTTTACAGTAACCTCTCTCTGAAATGTCAAGTATGGATGTGTAGGTTTTCATCTGCAGTATGGCTGTTTGCTGTACACATCGGATGCTGCGTTACCTCGTCGACATGCATTATTCAAAGCCGATTCTTTTCAGCTTTTATAGTGCAAATTAGTCTTGGTGAGGCTGAAGGATTCTTAAATCAATTTGACTTTCCTCAGCCAGCTAATATGATTCCGCTGCGACACAGTGCAGCCTAATGAGAAGTCTGTTGCCTGCATTACTATATATTTACATTAGAATATGCAGATTGAGATTCATCACAGCTTATCACACGAACTTCATTCTCTGCTGCTCTAATCTTCTGAGTAGGATTTAAAGTCATTTCATATCCATTCGTTAAAGGAAAAGTGTGAAGGAGGTTTTCAGTATTATTATTATTATTATTATTATTATTATTATTATTATTATTACACGTATTGTCAATGTTGACTGTGGTTTCCCCTCAGAATGGAAACGTGGAGAACCCATACTGTAACGGCATGGAGGGGATTCTAGAAGCTTACCATCAAAGCCTTAAGACGGTTCAGCTCTATGGACCCACCAACTTCGCCCCTGTTGTGAATCATGTGGCCAGGTAAAACTGAACCTAAAGCAACAGAAAATGGATTTTGACATTTGTAGTTATTTTGAAAAATAAGTAGAAAAAAAAGGAAATCCTGTTTAAACCACATCCTTTGGTAGATTTGGTTTGTAATCTGGAGCTTTTCAAGAAATTATTTTTTAATCAAAATTATTTGACTTTTTTTTAGCATCTTTCTTGGTGTTTTGTGGTTAAACCTTGAATAAGGAAGTACCTTTTGCAGAAACCCTTCACTTTTTCAGAGACGTGGTTTCATCATCGCTCCACGTGTGCACAGGGATGGTTTTTGTTGAATTTCTGCCTCGGGCACTAACTACAGAATAAGCTCAAGTACAAGTACAACATGTACAGTGTAAATGTGCATAATAATTTAAAAACATGACTAAACACCACAGTTTGAGTCACACTTTTTAGTATTTATTTTATTATAATAAATGGAAGTCAGATTGAAGTCAGATCATGAACTGATGACCCAGGGGCATGAATGATTAATGTCCCAGTCCAGCTTCGTGTTTTTGTTTTCAGTTCTTTTTGCTCAGGGCGACATACAGAAAAATATTTTTTATTCAAAAATAATTATTCAAATAATCTGTGATTATTCACTAGATCTGTTGAAGGGCAGAAAGTCAGATACAATATATAAAAAAAACTTTAAACCTTGAGAAGCTCTGTGTTAGAAAGAACAGGTAAAATAGGTCAAAGGTCATGAATTATTAAATGCAGGCAGTATTTTATATGAAAGGCAAGAGGTGGCGACTCAGACAAAGCTGACGTTGAGTGATGATGAATAATTTGTGGTGCTTTGTTCGTCTCTGTGTAGATAGCACTTCTGTGTTTTCGCTGCTTCAGTTCAGTTTGCCAAATAGCTCCGAGCTACTGTTGTCTGCACCGCAGTCGGCCAAATTACCTCCAATGTTTCTTTGATCACCTTTAAAACCCGTCTTCAGTCTTCCTCCTGTCACTGACTGGACCTGCTCTTCGATTTTAAATGTCAACTCCTCACATTGAAACACCGTCTCACCTCCGACCTGCCCTCGGTGCTCACACTCATCCGACATGTTTTTTGCCTTTCCACCTCATCAAGTCTGTTCAATTGAGCGCAGGGCAATCAATAATGTTCTGAAAGAATAAGACTGCAGCACTTGCATAAACAGTTAAATGAATTATTCATGGGGCCGCCACCAGTGGGCGATTGAAACTAGGCCACACTCGCTGCGGCGGCGGTGTCTCTGATGGGGTTTAACAACAGTGTCTGGTTAAACCTCCGAGATGTGAAAAACCGAAATTAGGCTTTTGTGTCACATGGTGGACAAAGAGGAAGAACACTTTTGGTTCTTTTGTTTCATAATTTGCATCATAATAGACTTTCTTCTTACTCAGTCACCCTTCAGACCAGGGAAGTAGATTTGAATATACTTCATATGCAAGAAAAAACCTCTAAAGTTCTAGTAAGTTCTACTAAGGAGTTGTTTGACAATCATGGATACATGTAGTTTGGTTCCATTCAGTATGTTTGAAGTTTGAAGTTTCCTCTACAGGCCTTTATAAAATGGATTATCTGTATTCTTATCACTATTAAAAAATAAATTGATGCCTGCGCAAAAAGAAATTACAATTCATTACAAGTCAGTAAATTATAGTTCCCAACACCCCTGTGGATCCCACCCCCAACTTTGGGACAGTGTATTGTTTCACACACTTTTTTTAAACAACTGTATTATTGTTCTAGTTCAGGAATATAAATCGAGTGCATCTTCACATGTGATCGGGGAAAATAAAAAATAAAAAAATTGAAATAATTCATTTTAATTTGGATTTTGGAGAAACCTGAATTTTGCCTGCGGTCCAGATTTGGTCCAGATTTGCCTTACAAGGAACAGGATTTTCCTAATTCAATCCTACATTTATTTAACAAATAGAATGAGGTCAGGGAGTGAAAATACAACGACATAATGTTTCAGTACTGTAAATGTTTTTCTGAAAAACCTTTAACTACATATTCAGACGGCGTACCATCGACCCCTGTAATCCACCCTTTGCTTTGATTCCTCCATTGCAGATATGCAGCAGCAGTCGAGGATGGCTCTCAGTATTTTGTCCTGCTCATTATCACTGATGGCGTCATTTCAGACATGGCTCAGACCAAAGAGGCCATCGTGAATGTAAGTCCATCTCTGAAAGTAGCCGCAGGACATTCTCCTCCTCTCATTTTCTCTCTGTCAACACTGCAGCTGCTTTTAGCTGAGGAGCGGCTCCCGGCCGTTCTCTCACTCTCAGGCTTTTATAATCCAGCTGCAGTAGATTCAAGGATTTACTGGGTGTTTTCTGCTCCACTTGTTTCATCTCCTCTGCTTTGGTCCTCCGTCCAAAAATGTTGCTTCTCTCATTAAACTGCTGTGAAGTCCACGGGGTTTAACTGAGATTTGGCGTCAGGTCGACGGCTTCACCTCACTGGAGGCGTGGGTCCTAACACAGACGGCCAATTTGGTCAGATAAATGTCCGTTTGTTTTTGTTTTCTCCACCTTCGGGTCTTCTGTTTTTCTAACGTCTTCGGTGTGACGCTGCTTCGCCCTCCAGGTTCACTGGGCTCTGACCCACAGCAGACTGGGTTTAAAGGGAATTTGCGACTGTTAATCAAACTTTTCGAACAGCCACACCTTCCTTTTAAGATCTTGTCTGCTGCTCTGCACCGCTCACAACGAACCTGCTGCTCTGCACCGGTGCACCCTCACCTCACAGTCTGGATCTCCTCTGATCCCAGGTCTGAATGACCTGTTTCACCTGTAGTCGTGTTGAACACTCAGGTGTTGGAAGAACTTTGTCTCAATGCTTTTTTTTGGGTGTTTTACTCACTGTACTACAGTTTCTTTACTTTCAGAGAGAGACAATACGAATCACCACACCTATAAATTATACATGTAATAATTATCGAGATACATGTTAAACTTGAACCCAATGCAGTAAAATATAATGGTCTGGACCTGGGTGTCAAGCTAATATTAGCTCGGGGGCGTGGCCTCACAGTATAATAACATATGTAATAATAACAGTTCATTAACTCTACATTTGATTTGGTGCAAATAGGGCAAATATATTGTTGACAAAAAAGTAAAAATGAAGCTATTAAAGCCATAAATAATAAAAAAAAACTTTTTTAAGGGGAAAAATATTCCATTGGATAATCTTGGTTTTTTGTGTGTTAAATTGACTGAACATGCAGACGGTGAGAGCAGGGAGTGTGAGCTCAGACACTGATGATGAAGTGAGAATCCCCCGAGTGACTTTATGGTGCAGGAAAAGTAACAAATGGTGTAGCCTGAATAATTCAGCCCTGGATACAGAATCTGATCTGGCAATCATAGGTATGTGCCTTTGAGGGGAGTTGTTGCAGCAGAGGGAAAGTCTACGCATTTTATTTGATGTAGGGAGCACAATGTCATGAAGAATGAGTGCAGTGGAGGCAAAGATAATTCAGGACAGAAGGAAAACTGGGGGGAGAATAATCAAGGAGAACGTGGAGAGTCAGTTCCTGGTCTGTCTGTTTACTCTTATCCATGACAGGCTTCCTCCCTCTGGAGGTTTTTCCAGGAAGCTGACCTACTTCTACCTCTCTAAATGCACTTCTGTCACAACCATATCATTCATTCATGCCAAAGCTATTTTCACATTCTCTGCCTAAGGAGCAGGGGCTGAAATCACTCCGTGGACTGAGCTCCACACCACGAACTAGAGGGAAAACACTGTAATGAAAGCTTTATTATAGTGTAATCAGGGCGCACCGTGATCTGGTCTTTAACAAGGTTTTGGACCTTTTAAACATCTAAACATTATTTATGAATTAGTCCACAGGATGCACTGGGTTTTATTAATGCAGCATTTATTGAGTTGACGGTTGCTCGTGTTTTCTTATCTGTTATTTTTTATCCATTGCTGTTAAAACATTATGTACATATTCAAGTGGCAGGAGCCTGGAGTGCCTCAGGGATCAGTCCTGGGTCCCATCGGTTTGTCTGACTTACACATATAGACTGAATCAAAATGTGTTGATTTGAGGTTTCACTTGTTTGTAGATGACACCATGATTTATAGCAATAAATGTTCTAATTTTTATTTTAATGGAGAACTTTGAATTAAACAACAATTTAAAAAAAACAACAAAACCAAACTTATTTAATTTGTATTGGGTGAGGGTAAAGTACACCCTGGACACCCTCCAGTATAAATAATAAATAATGACGTTTTTATTCTTGGTGAGGATGACGTCCAGTTTTGTTTGTTTTGTTAAAGCTTCTTTTCTTTTAATCTACTATGAGACATTACTAATGAAACAAAGGTTCAAACCAGGACGTTATCTTTAAAAAACAAGCAGCCTGTGACATGTTTGTATGCTAACCAAAATATTCTGCCATATAAAAAAACAGATATAAAAAGGTTGTGTACTCATTCCATGTGTCATTGATTTCCATCCTATTTTATTATCGTTTCTGTCTCTGGTTTCATTGGGGAATTGTAATTCAGATTAAAAGCAACTGCAGAACGAAGATTGAACTCATAAAAGAAATGATTGGACTATTGAACCTCTAAAGTTCTGGTGTCAAGTGTGTTCCATTCAGCCGTCGATCTAAATGAAGCCTTTTTTTTTTAAACAGGCAGCCAGACTTCCCATGTCGATCATCATTGTTGGCGTGGGTCAAGCTGAATTTGATGGTGAGACAAATGAGCAGAAGTTCTAATCATATTATTTCTATTTGCACCGTCACGAGTCTAACAGCTGTAGAATTAATTTGGTAAAATAGTCTTTTTGTCTTCAACCCTGAGACCAATCGGTCTCTTGTTAATGACACGTCTCCTCTTTAGCTATGGTGGAGCTGGACGGTGATGACATCAGGATCTCCTCCAGAGGGAAACTGGCAGAGAGAGACATTGTACAGGTGGGAGGTTTTCAGGGGTTTTATTTCCAGCTAATCTAATAAAAAAAATTATTATGAGCAGTAATTGATTTAGAACATTATGTTTCTTTCTATCTTTCTGCCTTTCTTTTTTCTTTTATTCTTTCTTCCTCACAATACATGTATAACAATTTTTTCGTTCTTTTTTTATTTATTTTTTAAATTTTTCAACAAGTAAGAAAACAACTTGTAACAAAATATATAAATATATTCCTCGTCCCTGTTCGTCTATTTGAAGTATATTTCCAACACCAACATGTCCAACCGTCTCTCTCTGCTCTCCTGTGTTGTCTGTTCATCGCCACAGTTTGTTCCATTCAGAGACTACATGGACCGCACAGGTAACCACGTGTTGAGCATGGCCAGGTTGGCTAAAGATGTGTTGGCTGAAATCCCTGACCAGCTCATCTCTTACATGAAGAGCAGGGCTATCAAACCCAACCCCGTGCCCCCGCCGTACTCACCTGCCGACCTGTCCCAGACCAACCCTGTCTGATTCAGCCCACACGCTGCTGTGGGCGGTGGGCTGTGGCAGGGTCAGGGTACGGGTTGGTTTGATGACAGTCACCGGAGCTCCGCTCCCACCATCTAGTCCTTTTAATAAATACTGAGGCTTAACTAAATAATGATGGTTCTGTGTTTGAACGTGGAGCTCAGAGACTGTTCTGAAGGAACCTGCTGATGATCAGCGGCGGTCTTTCTTCCTCTCTGGAGGCTGAGAGGAGCCCAGAGAAAGAGGAGGTTTTATTTGTTTGCTGTCAAACTTGTCACAGTGGTAATGTAATGGATAGCAAGTAAACCTGTAGAGAGAGCCTGAGTGAAGGCGTAAATATATTAGAACGTGCCCGTGTGTATCATGTTCGTGATACCTTTCGGAATCGGCGTGTGTCAAGTTAGGCGACGATGTGTGTGTTTATTTAGTGACTGATTTATTCATTGAAGAAAATGTTTATTCTTTAAGAGGGATTTTAAAGTCAAGGGTTTTATTTCCTATCTCCGCTGTAGTTTTACATCTTCTATTTTGTGAGCAGTGTAATAAAAGTACAAATATTTCTACTTTGATAAGGACTGTAATATAAAAGCATGTGTTGAAAAAAATAATCTACTGTATCTAGAAGTTTAGGAAACATTTTCATGATGGATAGTTTTTCTTTTTTTTGATTGAAGAAGACCTGCTGTGAGCTGTTGCCATAAGATTTCTAATATTTATAACAGAATGCACTAAATACTGTTCAGATAAAAAGCACAAAGACTATGATGTTATTAAGCTGAGTAACAACCATAATATAAAAATATATATATATTTATTTAAAAACAACTAGGACATTAAAAATAATGGAAAGGACCCAATATTTTATTTTTCTTGTTTTAAGTTTATTTTGCCTTAATTTTTACCCATTTACTGGAATTTTACTGTCTCGATCTGATCCTCAGGATCGGTATTGATCTGATAATGGTCAAAAAAACCCAAAACAACTAAAGCCGTCTAATGTTGTACCTGTGCCCTAATGCTCAACTTAACTTTTTGTGACATGCCGTAAATCGGCTGCAGCGTCTGTAACAAACATAAAAAAAAATACGTATCAAACCATCCGTCATCTGTATTTTTACAGAAATGTTCAAATGAACACCAGCTCACACAGACCCCTGTTAGACCACAGCATCCGAGCTGCCAAATGTCATTCATTAACTTTGCTGTTTGTTTCTTTCCATTATCTTTGTTGTGGTCGTAGATTGTCGTCTGGGGAATAATAACTTTCAAGGAGCCTACGGATAAACTTTGGAACGATTATTGTCTCTAACACCCCCCTCTTTATGAATCATCACAGCGAGTATCAGATGTCGGACGACAGAGTAGTCGTTTAATGGAAACAAGTGGCAGTAAAAAGGCCGTCTTTTCTGGGGAACAAAACTTTTTTGTTTCTGTAACTCATCTTCCACACCACATGGTTAGTCTTGGTAAATGTTGATTTGCTCAAATCAAACCTTTGTTGTGTGCATTGAATTCTATGGTACTTCACCTGGTCATTTTCATTAGCATCAGCCAGTCACACAGTATCTCTATCCAAAGGTGCCTCTTCAATAGAAACATATCTAAACTCCGTCGTCAGCAGCAGCAGCAGCAGCAGGTCTTATATTTACGTGTGCTCACAGATGAGTGGCGGTGACTATGGACACAGACACACGTCAGTCGTGTGCTTTTATACTGACTTCTCTTCACCAGTGATCTTTGAGGTCATGAAACAGAATTAACGGTGTTGCTTCGGTATACAAAGTCAGGACTTGTTTACAAATAACTGTGGGAATTCACTTTGCATCAAATCATTAATGTTTGAAACTGAATTTGTTACTATCCACAGGGTCGACCCAGTCAGTTGTTTTAGGCCTTTAGTTGTCAATGGTGAGGATCTGGAACCAAGTCTCAGCCCCATACTTCCCATACTCTTGCATGTGAACATGGTTGTGGGTTTGATTCCAGAACTGAATAGTTCGAATCTAGGGCCAAAAAGATTAAGCGTAACCTGTAACGAAAGAAAATTGGTCTGATAAAAGAGTACAAATAAGAACAGCAGATCAGGTGTCTTCAACAAGAAGTCCAAGGCCCCCTAGAGTCCACAAGGGTACTGCAGGGGAGTCGTCAGTTTTCTTCCCTATACTTTGTTTCACAAATATAATGACTTCAAACGCACATTAACATGAGCGTGAGTGGAAAAAAATGGATGTTATATTTCAGTCTTAGGTTTATACATGTACATGGCACTTGGCCCAGAGATGAATCCACTGGTGGTTCTCTGCTCCGTCTTCATCAGTCTCTCGTGTGATCCTTACTGTGTTGCCACAGTGACCTTGTCTTTTTCTACTTTCATGTTGACTTTCGGATATTGAAAAAAGATTTAATTGGAAAGTCTTAAATGCCGCTGCGGCTACGGCTTTGTGAGAGTCGAGAGTTTTGCAGCTGATGAGGGTTTTTACTAGTCGTCTATGGTTTTATGGAAAATGCTCAGTTTGTGGGAGCTGATGTGAAACATCTGCCGAGAGACTTGGTGATCATTTTGAAAAAAGAAAATCAACAAACAAAAAAAATCATCAAAGCTGCTTTCAGCAAGATTTATTACAACAGGACTGGGACCTCACTGAGACGGAGGGTTTATTTATTTATTTGTTTATATTCTTGTTACTTCTTGACTGAGGTAAATCATTTGATGAGACCTCTTACCCCAGATGTGTTATTGCTGTCTGACACTGTTGTCAGACAATGTGACTGAACAATGGTCGAGCCTTTCTCTCACAGAGCCACCTCCATGTTATTCATTATTTCTGTCCTGTGTTATAATAAGTAACACTTAAGTAAATACTAAATCTACTCTAATGGGTATTATACATAAAGATTAACTTTGAATATCATTAAAGTCTATATAAGCTTTGCAAGCACTCCCTTTACAATCTACTTTGAAAACTTGTTTTTATTATCGGTGATAAATTTTTATTTCCCAACAGTTACAGGGCACTCATTACTCAGAGCTTTGGCAGCACAGAGAAAATCAGCACTGACTTCTAATACTCAGAATGGTGTCAAAAATACTAGCAGTGAATAGGACGAAGTACCACATAAAGAGCAGGTGTTGTCACTCGCTCAGATAGTTTGGGTTATAAATACCAGGCCAGGAATTGATGGAAAATCGGATCAAGATTTTTTATTATGTTGCGTCTTTGCATCTTTATGAACAAAGAACATCATAATCCCAAACAACATCCTCCATAATTAACATCCTCCCCACAGGTGCCACCCTGAAATACGGCAGTCAACACTGGTAATGTAAGCACATTAATGGCACTTATACAACTGTGAAACGTTCAACTAAACAGGATTTGAAAGTGAAAGATTTATTTTTGAAATTACAGGCTCTATTGGTTTTCTGGTTGTTAACTGGTTTGGTCATCCTTCCATGTTTGTTTTTCTTCACTTAGCGACTGATTTCTAATTATGTACATACTGTAGGCCCACATGAAGACGATTCAATGCCAAAATGTTTTTGGATGAATTTGACAACGTGCATGTTTGTGCCAAAACAGCAGCAGGACGTCTGGTCGGTCGCCTGCTTCCATTTTACCTGAGTAGTGCATTTGCCATGTGCTTGGTTTGTTACTTTAGATGTTTCTTAGAGAAAACTGTCACTTCTGGCATGTTCTATCTCCTCTGTTCCCCACTCTGTCCCTATGAGACGATGACTGTATGGGTTCTTCTGGACAATACTCCTGTTTTATCCCAGGTTGTTTACATACCTCTCTTGGTCTCTGACTTGCATGCTGAATAATTTCCAAACCAGGTGTTGGACATGATACTGTCGTCATACTGTGGTTTGTGAAATACTTTGTAATGGATTGCCTTAACAGGAGATGAATAAAACACTGAAAACTTTGGCAGAATGAGAGAGAATCTTTTCTGTGCCTGACGACTCAGAGATAGATAAATAAAGGTTGCTGCCTTATCACTGTTTGCCTTGTTCCAACTTTTCACTGATGTTCATTTATTTTAGGGCCATATCATGTGACCAGGACCAACATCCTTAGTAGACAGTTAAGTATTTGGGAGAGAAACTGATAAGAAAAAACAAAAAAACCCCAAGACTTTAGTGTTCTTTCTGTGCAACCCGGCACCACATTCTCCATGGCCTGGTTCTGGTCCAGTGGCTAAGAAACATTAATATGATGAAGTTGAAGAGAATGAGGGACTTCACAATGAGTTCACCTTCACTACAAGTTCTTACTCTTTATATACTGTACATATATATGTGTGTGTAAATATATGTTTATATATGTGTGGATATATGTTATGTTTGTATATACTGTATATGTGTATTTCTATATATATGTGTGTGTGTGAATATATATATACATATATGTATATATGTATATATATATGTATATATGTATATATATATTATATGTACAGGACAGTCTGACCACGGAGGTTAGTTCGCTGTGGTATTTTGGCCATTTTTTTGCCTCAAGTTACTTGAGCCTCAGGGAGAAATGAATGGCCAACCAGAGAACCAGTCAGCCCTTGTCCGACTCCATCTGCTCTGGCTGACATATTCAATTTGATTCTTCCAGTTTCCAGTCCAACTCCGTTTAGAGGACTCTCTTCCTGAGCTCTAAGGTAATTTAAAGTCCCTTTTGATTTATGTTAGAAAAGCTGCTGTCATTCAATTTAATTGCAAGACTTTACATTTTTAACAAGATTTATAATTTATATTCCAAGCTGTTTTCCCTCAGAGAGGCAGGTGTCAGGTCAGCAGTAGGTGTTCTCCACTGACAGAATGTTTTTGCCTCTGAAATGTATTTTTTTTCTCTCTAAAATGCACTGCTGATGATTCCAGCTGTCCACCTGTGGAGAGGAGGAGACGGCAGATGGAGCTGGAAATTACTGTCTTAAGACAGGATCACCTCACCTCCTCCACCCACCGACTGCCTGGACAATAACTACAGCCTGTAGACTGAAGCACAGCAACAGCTAATATACAAAGTACTTCAATCCAAAATAATATATACAATATACTGTATATCAACAATGTCTGCACAGGACAGGAACAGCTGACGTTTCCACAGTGATGACCAGCATCGTTGTAAGTATTAAAATTAAGTCAATTATTTTGGCTCCACAGCCTGAAGATCAATATTTGGTTGACTTATCATTAACTAATTATCCTGCAGGGATTTTCAAGTCTTCTCCACAAGAACACATGGGTTTTCTCCAGGTTCTCCGTCTTCTCCCTACAGTCCATAAACAGACGTAGTGAGTAACTTGGATTAAATGGAAAATTCATTTCACCATAGGAATTAATGTAAGTTTCAGTGATGGTTTGTCTTTATATGTGTCCTTGTGATGGACTGGTCAACTGTCCATGGTGTCATCCACCTTCTCCCTTCCCTAAAATACTGAAAGGATTATGCATAGGAAGATGGGGAATTAACAAAATAATAATAATTTGAATCTGATTGTTAATATGAACCCAGTACATTAACTGTATAAATTCCTTCATTTTTTCCTGTTATATGGATATATATGTATAAGGATAATTGTAAGTTTAATTCTGAAGATAAAAGTATTAATTAATATTTCTTAATAACTTAGACAAATTTTTTTTTTTAATTTTAGACTATAAAATAAATAAATAAATGTATTTATATATGTATTTAATAAATGTATGTATTTATTTATGCTCCCTCGAGATGAGATGATGTATAGTATTAACAAACTAAAGGTTATTTTAACTAGTTCTTAAACCCTATTAGTTTAGCTTGGCCTTTGTGTGATTAACAATTCACTCATCCACCTGCTCATTATCTGACTCAACCAAAGTCACACAGATTGGAACACTACATCGTATCTTACCCATCAGTCACTGCATAGTTAGGAAAAGTCATTTTGGCCAAATGTGTCTTTGAAATGTGTTTCTGGTTTATGTTGTGAACTCAGACACTTTTTTATGTTATTCTAACTTGGACACAGTTCAAACTCTGATGTTATTCTGAAAAGAAACGTCTATTTAACTGTGTAGTTTCCATCTCATGCCATTCTGTAATAACTCATCAAACTGCAGCCTGGTGAGAGGCGGTGGTGGAGTTGACCTCTGACTGTAGGTCAAAGGTCGCCAAGTGTGTTTAAAAAAGAGCTGAAGTTTTGATAACAGATTTTAAACAGTGGGCAGTAGAACCTGTTCTTACATTTACTCCGAAGTGAATGTCGTCACTGTCAGCTGGTGTTGACACTGTTCCTAAATCAACATTTTTTTAATTCTTTTTTGCCACAAGTTGCTCCTTCAAACTTTGGCCAAAAAGCACCGATGTGTGACATGAACGTAAAGACAGACATGCAGCTGCGGTTTATGAAGTATGTTGTTCTTTTATTCAGTGGATGAAGATGTAGAGCAACTCTGCGTCCTATTCCTGTAACCCAGGTAGAAGCAGCTCTCCTGACGTGTCAGTTCCATCCTGTTAACAACAAGCTCCAGCCTCGAGTCTGTGGTCAGATCTGTGGAGCTCAGGTCAACTGAATACATATATTCATTTTTGCTTTCATTGAGACTTGGTGTCAGGAGGAGGGGTGCCTGCAGCCTCCACCGCTCCTTCCTCACACTAATGGTGTCGCTCCGTCTCCTGTGGCCTGACCGCTCCACTGCTAACAGTCGACTCCGCTCTCCTCGGGTCGACGACTTGGGTCTCGCTCAACAACACAAACGGACTTCTACGGTAGAATTCACAGGGCACTTCTGCATTGGACATAAATCATCATTAGGTGGCCGTAAAGACTGATAATAAAGGACAGAGTGTGAGTTTCAGTGTGCTGTAATGGAGTCAGGAGTGAGCAGCGGGGTGGTTTCTCATTACAGAGCCATATGGAATAATGTGTTGGAGATTCATCATCCACACGACTGCAAATGTGATGAATCATCATCATTTATATGTCAAATCCAATCAAATAAAAATACAAACAAGCCCAAATAGCAATAACAGCCATAGATCAAAGAGCTGATGTAGATTATTTTTCTTCTCTCTACATGTTTTGTTCCACGTCGCCACACTGTGGTCAGCCCTGGCTCAACACGTGGCAATTTTAAGTTTTGTGATGAGCATACATTAACCCTATATTTTTTTTTTTTGTTTTCGTTAACTAACATTTAATTATTATTTACATCACATTACCATAGTCGGATGCAATATGTTTCTCTTTGAACGATAACTGAAGGCTACTGCACTAACTCTCTTACAGAATGCAGTAAATAGACCATTCTCACAGTAGGAGCCACAGAATGAGAGTTAGATGATGAAATCTAAGATTTCAAATTTTTAATTATTTAGAAAAATCCCTCCCTTTATTAGTCACAGTCCCTTGGCACTGTAACAAACCCACCCTGACTCATACATATCACATGGATGTTACATCTGTCAGCACTGATGCTGCCAGCAGCTGAAACCAGTTCCAACACTGAGAACTATTCCCCTGTTGATCGGCCACGTCTAGAAAAGAACAGTGAACACGATTCCTGATTCAACCGGCCCTGCTGTGCAGTAAAAAGCTCTTTTATATTTCTGTGTAATGGTGGTCGTGATCAATTAATACTTTCCACAAGGCTGTGCTGCTCACATGATTTCACTGCGGGTGTTAGAATGCCTTTGGTGGCCCAGGGCTGGGTCTGTTATGTTGATGGCTGAATTCAAGGTACAAAAAAACTCAGGACAGGAGGAGGATGATGAATAGGAGTCAGTTAGTGACGTGTTCACAGTGAAGACATGAGAGCAGTGAGAAAGACACAGGGAAAGGCTGTGGAGGGAGTGAGGAGAGAAGGAGATCAGGAAGCAAACAGAGGATGACGAGGAGGTGTACCGTAGGACTTCCCCCTGCTGGGAACTCCTGTGCTGTCAGTCCTCTGTACAGTAAGAAGCTGAATCTGGCCTAATGGGACGCTAAGGCGACAGATGAAAGAGTGGTCCTTGGTTGAAGAGTGGAAGAAAGGGGGAAATGCATCATGGTAAATTCCTGGCTGTCTGATTAAAACTCTTTGATGTGAATGAAAGTGATAAATGAGAAAGAGAGAGAGCCTTGATGTCTCAAAACAAACTCAACAACCGTGAATATCTATCTGACCATTTTAATGGTCAACAAATGATCTGTGACCATTTGAAAAACCCCTTTATGTTTTACTTACCTGGAGGTTCATGAAATGTAATGTTCCAATGTTCAAAAATAGTTGTTTTTTTGTTTTTATCATTTTTTTTTTCTAATTTTGAAATCCCTTTTCTTAGTGTTTTATCCTCATCTCTTTGTGACAAAACACAAAAACACGACACATGCCACGGGGGTGGGGGTAACACAACAACACCGGCTGAGACATCATTAGACTGGAGGCAAAAATACAGTCTTTTGCGGCTGTGTGGCTTTCACACGGCAGCTTCGCTTCATCATTCCAATTTTCAATGGCACTCTCCGGGAAAGAAGGAACTGATAAAAGTCATTACAAAGCAGAGGAGCCGATAGCTTTATTATTGGCTATTCCAGCTGGCTAAGGATCTGTGTTGCTCAGCCCTGAGCTGCCCCTGTCTCCCACAGAGCTCTGTCAGAAAAGTATTGTCTTTAAGGGGCTGCAGAAAAGTAATACACTCAGCTTTTTCAGACATTAAAGTGGTAATGAAATAAGGAATCAGGTTTTCTCCGGGGGGTCTGAGTTATAAGTCCAAAATGACTCTCCAGGAGAGTCCTTGTTTCAGCTGAGTCAAGTCGAGCAGTCTGTCATCTTGATACAATTGGTTTAACTTTGCTTCGGAGAAGTGCGGCGAAGATGTGACGCTTCACTGAGGGTGAGGAGGACTCCTGCATCTTGAATAAGGACGGTGTCTCCTTCCATCCAAATATAACCTTGTGAGAAGCACGTTCAGTGGAACATTAGGGTTCTGTGAGTTCTGCAACCCACAATTCTCCTTGAAAGCATTTTGAATTTGAATAGCATCGCCCCAGGTAACAAAAAACATTTTAACAGGAGTTTCCTGTGAGAGGGTGTTTTATGATAATGGATTCACGGAGGAGCTATCCGTGGTGCTGAACTCTGCAACGTCAGTACACTGCAACTACTGTGTTGTGGACCAGTCAGAACTGTAACCAACAACGCAGATACGTAAGAACTGTTCAAAGTCATACAGCAGTACTTTATTTAGCAGAAAAGGGGGAGAGAAAATATTTAGTATTTAAATATTTTAATTTTTTAATTTTTTAACTTTTAACTTCAACCTGTTCATCTATTTTTCAGGTTGTATTTTATCATTAAAAGGTTTTGCGTAGACAGTAGTTCACCACCTTCTACTGAAAGATTTCACTTCCATCACTTCAGTATTTGTTCCAAAGGCAAGTATTGCAAAACCTATGGCCTGTGAGCCTCTACAGCCAATAACATTTTTAAATCAGGAAGTCATGATGCATTTTTGATGGAGTAAAAGATGTGTTTATTCTGTTACAGTTCAGCTTTTTTAAATGAATAGTTATTCATACCAATATCAGAGCAGTTTCTCTACTCATCGTCCATCTGATTAGAAACACCTCTAAAGGCTGACTTTCCGTCAGAGAATACCTTTCTGGTAGAATCCCATTAGGTTTTAGTACTAGGTCAAGATTCTTTCAAGTGTTCTTTTAGTTTTAGTAAAAGCCAATAAGACTGAGTTAGATCAAAACCTGCTGTAAGCCTCCATAATTTATAACAGGTTCCTGTTTGAGCTTAGCTAAAAAAAGAAGTATTTTTCTCATTTCAGGTTTTGGGTTATTTTAGGATTTAAAGGTTGAAAATGTGATCAAATAAAATGCAACACAGTTTAACTCTTGACATGGACTCAGTCCTGAAACATCCAATCATTCAGATTAGTTTTATCCAATAAAAATTTAATTTCAAAGTAGAATGAAGAGATATCGCACCAGCAGATACAACAGTAAATATAAACAACTCCCAGCCCAGTGTTCAGACTTTGGGAGCTGAGCCTCACAACAAAGCAATAACAACACCCAATCTCCGATGAAAAACAAGCGTGTCCCTGTGTGATTTAGTGCTTTGATACTCTGAACACAAGTCTGGTGTGTTGGCCTATTGTAGTGCATTAACATTTTTATTTGTGGGCCTTGAAAGAAACATTTTTTTTCCTTTTTATCCCTGGTGACAGTTGAAGAATGCATTGAGATTCTTGGCTGGAGCTGGGCTATAAATTACACAGCTGGATATTTCTGTGTTTTCACAGCACAGGAAAATAAACACAAAATACACCATGGATTTCTACTGTTACTGTTTCTATTTGTTATTTGTGAAGTTGTGAACCATTAACACAGAAGTGTGAGGAGCCAGTTGAACAGGTTAAACTCTCGCAGTATGTGACGTGCCAAGGTCACGTCATTTAAGATTCCAGAATCTTAGTGTGATCCAGATGTTAGGGCTGGCCTTGAATTTCAGTGAGTAATAGCATGATGCTAAGAATCCAATCAATTCAAGTCCCACTGCTTAAACCCAGGGTTTTTGCAAGGTTAAAATATTGAAATGCATTTTTGTTCTTGAATAACAATTTATTTTTCTTCTTTTTTTGCAGTAAAACAGCACAGCATGACATTAGTACCCAGAGCTGCAGGAATGGAGGAGAGAAACGCAGGAATTCTAATGCATATCCAGGCTGTGGCGTTGTTGTCTTCGCCTGATTACAATTCAACCAGTCCCTCAGGACACGGGTCTATCACCACCACTGGCTTCAAGAAGGATTAGAATCATGTATAATCGTAGCTGCAATATAAGAAAAATAAGATACAACATAAAGTGTTCTGTGAATCTAATTACCCAGAGTCCCTGTGGTGCAGGTTACGCCCTGGTCATGTATGAGGGAGGAGGAATCCCACAGCTGCCTTTTCTCTCTCTGGCAGTGAGTACATTTTTTCAATTACTACAGTACCTGCAGCTGCAGATGGAGATATTTCAGTCAATAAAATGTGAATGTCTTTTTAATTTTTTTCTTTTACAAATGCTGTCAGGATTAATGCTTTAATAGTAATAATTAATTTGCAGAATTCATCAGAATACATTTTTGAACGCCTTTTATTGACGTGCCCTTTATATCCCATCATGCCATTCATTTATTTTTGCTCAAATACTCACTTGACACAGATGTTGTTTAACAAGAAATTACAAACCCATATAAACAAATATTCTCACCTTATATATCTGGTGACAAACAGTAAGAAATCCAGTTAAAATATTAAAACACATTTAGTTTTTTAATGTTCATGTTTTTCATCGTTGTTGTACACTCTTAGTTACATGTTCATACTTTGGTAATACAGTTCAGTGTTGGCTCCAGTGAACCTGCTCCACACAGCCTCTATATGGTTGTTAATCCCACACTGAGGAGCTGGTCACTCATTCTTCATGAGACTCCTGTTGTCAGCCGGCGTCAATCTGACGACCCACTGATGGCAGCACATCACTACACTTCACACAGGCACAATTTTTTATCTTTTTTTTTTTTTTTTAAAGCACTTTCCCTCAGACCGCAGTCCCACCGAGGTAGGATCTGGTGCCGCTAAGACTCATTTAACAGTGGAATTGACTGTGGGAGGCAATTACAACACTGTGAAGCTGTGCTGTGGAGATAATGTTGAAGAACTGTTGTATTATAGTAAATGAGTATTCTGTTGGTGATATTCTACCACAGTATCTGAGTTTGATGGAACTCATCAAAAGCTGCAAAATGTTTATGTTTTTCTTTCTTTGTTGCAATTTACACTTTTTTCAACTTCAGCAACTCAAGCTAAAAATATTTTTTGGGATTTTTTTAGCGTGCTACTGCCATCTTGTGGAAGAAAGAGCATTGCACCAGCAGTAAGAACGCAAGGCGTTACAATGCAAAATGAAAAGAACAACAACAATCAATTAAAGCTTTATACAAATACAGAGTTATAATTAACTGGGCTGAGATACTGAACTGTATGGTATCAAAATAACTTCATATTCTCCACAGGCAGGTCAATGTCCAAACAACCTGAGTGAACTGTGAGAGAAGGCCACACCACACAGAGGAACCCTGGGCAGGAGTATGAGGAACACTGTCAAACCTTCACAGTGGGCAGACAGATTTTATCCCAGAACCTTTGAGCTGTAGATAAAAATGCTGCACTGTGGTGCTTCCCCCTGCTGGTCAATGTCACCTATGATCAAAACATGCACCAAAATACAACAGTTGCCACAGGGGAAAACAGTGGGAAACAAAATCAAGCGATGGTATGTATACAGATGAAGGACATTTATATTCATTACACAGGCGTTTGAGCCCACAAGCCTTTCCTTTGATGATACCTTTAAAAGTGCTGAGTTAGTAGTTTTGGGAATTTGATTTTTTTCAGTATCAGTATACTGTTAATTGCTATATAAATCATTATTAATTATCATTATTTCTCCTCATATTCCCTTAAATAACCTTTTAATTTAGTCAAGCACATCACCAGTGCATAGAAACTGTTTATTAGTTATAACCAAAAGTGCAAGGTGTAGTATTTATTGTATTATACAAATAATAAATCCCCTCATTCTTAATTGAAGACTTATATATAAATATATATACATATAAAACAATATATTCCCACCGTAACCTCAACTTGAACATCAGCAGATTTTACTAATACCTACAGACTCCACCCTTATGTTGAAATCAAAAGTAAATAGTTATAATACTATAAAAAATGTGTTTTTGCAGCAGCAGGAAAAATGCTCTCAGTCCCATGATTCACACACATTGATTTCCATTATGACAGCTGGTATAAGGCAGGGACGAGGCAGTGAGCTGGAATAGTCATTGTCCTGCAGCAAAAACAACATGGCACAAGGCAGAACTTAAAAAGTTCTCATTAATTACAGATGCAGGGACAGATGGAAGTCCATCATTTTCCAATACTTCAGGCCATTAAAACAGTAAGGAGAATCACAACAAAACACACAGGGAAGAAGGATATCAAGAATATGTCTATGTGTAAAGTTTGTAAAGTATGAGGCAAAAACTTGGCTGCAACTCTCACTTTTTGTAAAGGTTTTGTAAAGTTTATTTTGTCACATATTTAAGAAGGTGGAAGTGTCCGGAGAAAACCTCCCTGGCTGGAGGGAGCATATCTGAAAGTCCTCCTCCTGGAACGGCAGATTATTTAGAAGACTGTTTTCAAGTTCCAAAAGAGTTTCCTCTGTCATTGTGTTTATAGTTTTGCACAATGTGCAGCAGTCGTGTCGTGGGCTCCTCTGTGAAGACACTGTGCAGTTGTTAGAGTTATTTCCACATCCAGAGTGTTGACTCAGGTTAAAGTCACTTGATTTGGATATGCCATCATTCTGAATGATTCCATAGGTTTTGTACTGAGTCATGATTTCATCATCTGACAGCGTGCTGCTATTTTCTTCATAATCATTTTCTCTGTAATGAATGGGATATTCTCCATGTGATGATCTGTGGTTAAGTTGAATGTGTTCTCCTGCTGAATTACCATTCATTTCTAAGTCATTGCTGTTTTCCAGATTCTGATCTGCAGCTGTGTGGCTCTGGGTGAGTTCAGTGAGTGACACTGACTCTGTCATCAGCATATTTTCAGAGATCGTCTGGACATTGTTGTGGCTGTAAATGCCTCCGGCCTCCTGTCTGCCTTCATTAGTGGTGAGTTTCCCGTAACTGTCAGTAGGGACACAGTCTGAGTTGTTTTCCCCATTTTCTCGCTCCATCTCTCCTCCGGAAGCATCATGTTTCAAACAATGTGGTTCATCGACAAAGATGTCGTCATATGACCTTTTAGATCCTTTTGCAGGAGAATCAAACACCACACCTTTGGGAACCGGGGGTTGGAAGGGTCTGCGTCGAAGGTTGTTGAGTGTTAATGTGCTGAGCGGGGAATCAAACTTTTGCCGCATGTAGTGTTGGACTGACTCGGGCACCAGGATTTCATGGCGTTTTTTGTTGGGCAGTAAGGCTGAGAGAGAAGCTGGCAAATACTCTCCGACAATAGGTAAGAGGGAGGTCGGTTCAAGGGCAAAGACAAACTCCTCGAGCTCCTGGTAAGAGGAGTGGTCAGAGTATGGCACCACGTAGAGGTCGGGGTGTGAAAGGACAATATTTCTGCTCGTGGGAATGATTGCTAAAGTGGGGTGTTCTGTATTCCACTGGTTCAAAGAGAAACAACCGATCTTCGACTGATCCACGACTCGGATACGACCAGCTCCGGGATCAGTGGTAAAAACATCAGGCAGGTCCAGAACTTTCAAGGTCTCCATCCTTTCAATTGTCACTTCAATCCATGTTTTAAATTCCTTTGCCAACTCCACTAACAGGGATTCTTTTCCTAATGTATACAAACCTGGTATGCAGGATGAACACACATAATTAAATTACACATAAATAATAATAATACTTATAATAATAATAATAATAGAATTACCTATGACAATTTCGTGTTGAGGATGACTGCGGATGATCTCTTTAATTTGCTGGGTCGCCTGCTTTCTGGAGGGGAGGGAGCGATTGGGGTCACAGTTGGTGTTGTCCAAATAAAGGACATCTATAGTGGTGCTGGTCAGACAGGGATTACGCAGCATCGTGGGACAGTATCTAAAGTCAGCTGAAATTGACAAAAAAGTTTTAATACTCTCTTCAAGTACATTGAAACATTGTGTGTTGCTCTACAGGACAAAACAACGCTCTACTTGTACTCATAATTACTTCAATAACATTAATGATTCAAGGTGTGGTGAAACACCCTATTCTAAGTAGGGTGGAATGTAAAGTCACAAGGTTAGAGGTGTAAATGGGGAGTGATACCATTCCTATGCAATAATATTATCACCTGAGTGACACTTTTGGCTGTGTGTCCTTTGGAAGATGACCTGGATGACTGAGAACCTACACAGCAATTAGCATTATTTTTTAAAAATAATTAGCATATAAACTGCTTCAAAGTAACTTCACAACTGACCGGTGTATAGTATAGAACCAAAATATCCTTGGAAGAAGAACATGACAGCCCCAGGGCAGTGTTTGGCATCCATCAGTGTAACCGTCAGCTTCTCCTTTCCAATCTCGTCAAGTGGCAGAAGGTGTGGAGTGTCCAGCTCTAATGGATGGATCCACTGTTCTTTTATCTGAGAAACAAACATATAGTAGATTACTGTGATAGTGAAAATGCATGAGCCAAACCCAGCAGTCTTCGGGTGAGGGTATGGAGCACACTAGAAAGTTAGCCAGTCCATCACATGACCACATTGAGTCATGTCCAAGTAACCAAATACTGCATGTTTTTGGACATTACAAAACCAGGAAGAAAACCAGTCAACAGGAAAGATGACTGTAAAAGAGAAGTAGACAATACTTCTAAATTTAAAGGGCATGCTTGACATGAATCACATTATGTTTGCAATCTTCAGAAAGTTTAGAAGTAAACAACTGGACTGTCTTCGTTTTCTTGAGATTAACCAATCTGCAGATACGTCTACAAAAAAACAAACAAACAAACAAACAACTGCAACGGCAAGAATATTAGAGTGTTCTTGTGCGGTTCTTTGAAAGCATTATCCAGACAGTGACGTCCTTTAAAAATAAAGAATAAAAATAATAAATCAGGCGCTGCAGTCACAGACCCTCACCTGCGTCTTAAGTTTGAGCAGTGTGGCTGTGGTCGGTGAACAGTAGATGGGCCAGTTGCTCCAGGTGGAAGTCAAACACACAATATGGTCGCTGTGCATGTGGGACAGGAAGAAGAGCCGAGTGTGCGGACACTTCCGAACCTGCCAGAAGTCTACAGCCAGCGGTGTGTGCGGGATAACTTTGCCGTTGACCGACATCCTCCTCAGGTGGACCCAGAAACGACGTGATTTAACGGTGAGTTATCTGCTCGCTAACAGACACTGTCAAAACCAGTGAAAACAAAAAGCTAAAGTGAAGGCACACTAACAAATATGTTGACGTAAGCATTAACCGGGTTGACGGCGACGTTCTAATACACACACCGTGACAACTATAACTGAAACAACCACTAATGTACTGTATATGGTCTATAATAAACACACATTTTTTTCTCTCCCGCCATTTTTGTTTTGCATACCCTCACCTTCTTCTATGGGCTGATGCTGCAGCTCATATTCTCTTTATTGCACTATACTGCCACCATAGGGTAAGGAAGAGGCATTTTTTATTTAGGGTAACTCAGTGCCCTTTGCAAATGTACAAACCCATATGAAGTTTCTGTATATAGTATATTAATATTGATGCCATCAATACAATACAACAAAACTGTAAGGTAAGAATAATAAAAACATACAAATAACATTTTTGGGACGTTTCTCAATCAACAGCTTAATAACTAAACCGCGTGGGTATGAAGGTTGCATATAAAAAGAGCATGCACGTCTTAGTTAAGTTTTTTGTGATGAAATTATTGCCAAATGATTCTTACAGTCAGGAGATTTATTTGACACACATTTACTGCCGAAATAAAATTGAACTGTGCCGCATTTCCCTTGCCGCACTACTCTATGTTTCCACAAGGTGGAGCTAACAGAGAGGACACGTGCATTAGGGGTTTTGGGGAATGTTTGCATATTTTTATATTTTTAATATACACATTATGAGATTAAGGGAAATTAGACATTATGGTATAATATAGCATAGTAAATGCAACCTTTTTTAGAAGTGGGCCATGTAACAACTAAAATATACCTACATATACATTTGAGGTCACAATTGATCTATTCAGTCATCAGATTAGCATTAGTAATTTATCATGTAGCTTGATATTAGAAAATAAATTAATTCTCTTACTAAACCATGCAATAGTAATTTGTCATGATGTGCTTGGGTTGACTATTTAGTAGGGTTGTTGCTATGGGAACTACCACCTATTGTGCCCCCTCAAACCCTCCTACTTTGCACATTTCTCACTTTTCCAGCATTATACCCGGTATTGTTGCACATTTCTCTGTTTTCACTCAGTATCTGTCCTTTAATCGTCACTGGAGGTGCACAAATCACACTCCGATATAACAAGCTTTGTTCAAATAACATCAGAGTGAGACAAAGGAAAAGGAGGCCTTAATTTTACTCAAAGACTTAATCAATGACCTTCCAAATAAAATCTATCTTGGTAATTTATGTGCTGCTAAATGACAACGTCGTTATGTATTGATGACTAATAACAAGGTGAGGACATGATCTGGCACGGATGACGTCCAATCAGCGCTGATTTTGTATCATGTATTGCTGAGAGAAAATCAGACTGAGGCGTTACATTGTGGTTTATGTAAAAAGACTCTTTTAATAATATTTTGAGCTAATAAAAAAGTGGCTTTTTCACAGTACTGAGCGACTTCAAACAATAATTATGTGTGAAAACCTGCTAATATTAATTTAAGTTATTTGCGTTTCAAAGGAAACCTACGGGCACAGACAAAGCTTGTGCACACTGTCTGACGAGCAGTCTATTGAACTGTCAATCAGACTTTGTTGTTCTGTCAGATACGTAATGTCTTTTACATTACTGCAGCAGTTCAATAAACAGAGCTGCAGAGATATTAGCAGACATGTGAGAGAGACTGGAGAGATCTTTTTGGACCAGGGGCAGGGGCTCCAGGGGCTCATTCTCTTGTTGCCCCAACAACTGCCTCCTTTCTGCTCTTGTGTGTGTCTCAGTTCTGTGTTTTCAAGTTTCATTTCGACTTAATTTTTTTGCACATACATGCTCACATCACCAAAGAATAGCTAGACGGCTGGTATTAAAAGCTCTTTTCTTGTCTGTGTCTTGTTGACCATTCTATTCGCAATACTTTAACACTGCGTGTTAGACGTAGAGGAGTTGCTATTTCTAGGCAGGTTTCATGACAAGCCACATCCTGTCCTGTGGGCTACCATGTAGAGGCAGCTTGTTTGCACTCATGTGGTTTGATTAGCTCAAGTCATTAGTATTTCAGCAGTTAGCTAAATGGTGTGGCACACAGTCAGTTTGCTGAAGATCCTCCACAGGCCAGCAAGGGGTTTCATTTTTGTCACTCCATCATGCACAGTGATGTGCATACGGCTTGCTGTCACGGCAACAGCTCACACTGGGATAGAGATGATCCTAATTGTCTTCCCGGAGGGCCCCAAATCTTTTCAAATTTTCTCAGTTGGATCCAGGGCGTGGTGAACAACCTGCCCATGGAGGACTGAGCAGATCCCCTACGTGGCACTGTTAATAGGGATCATAAACTGAATAAGGCAACAGACATCTATTATCTCATACAATAGGCAAGCACAAAGCCCTGCGCAATTTATCAAACAAAGTCTCCAGTCAAAACACATGTTCTGTAGAAGGAGAAAGGAAGAGGACAATTAGTTAACAAAAAATATGGAAAAGAAAGAAACCCTCGGAGGCACAATGACAACATTAGTCCTACCAATGTAAAAAAAGCTTATTATATCAAATATAAGTAGATAATTATTTTAAAAAGGGGGGAAATGGAAAAAAGAAATTGTCCACAGTTTAATCCACCCTATTTCTCCCGATATCTAATTGTGTTGCCTATGGTGAACAGAGCAAAAAAAAGTCTAATGAAATGAAATTCCAAATAAGATTTGCTGAATGGTAGGCAAAAGGAACTTTTGTTTTTATCAAACTTGATTCAATCGCAGGACAAATATTGAGGCGCATCGTTGGCCAAAAGGTTTTATCGTCTTCAAAGCAAATACTGCAGTAAATGTATCGTAATAGATGAGACAGACCATCATCAGAACCAGAGAGAGAAATATAGAGGAGCTCTCCAGTTCTCATATTGTGGGAAAATTGCTTTTCAAATTTAGTTTCAAGTCTTCTAGCTCCAGTAAAAGCACGTATCAGATGACCATGGTGAAGCAGCACGCTGTATCAGTGCAGAACTCCTGTGCAATATGGTTGTCTCAAAAGGTTATAGGGAAAGGAAGTAAACAACTGGACTGTGGGGATGATATCTGATAGAAATGATCCAATCACTATACATGTGATTTTTCCTTATTAATTGAGACAACATGCTTTTCTTTGTACTTTTTCTGAATGTCACCGATTTAAATAAGAGCTGATTCGTGCCAGTGTGACCCAGGACACAGAACCATAATGAAAGGTGTGATGAATAATTTACCAAAAAGGCCTCAAATAACTTGCCAAGTGTCTTAGTCAATTGATGTGCATGACAAATCACGTGTATGCTCGTGATTTGGAAAAATGCTCCACATACAAAATGCATGTGTTGAATTATTTTTCAGTACTGTTTTTCATCAGTCAACAAAGGCTGCCGCCACAATGGATACACACAGTACACAGTACGGTACCATGTAATGATAATACTGTTTGGGACTGGAGGTGTGTTTGAATGTGCTCATGTTTTTAAATCCGAGCCCATTTGTTGCTGTTGGAACATGTGCACTTGTCCTAGAGTGAACAACCGTGTCAGTCAACATGTCAGCCGAGACCTAATTACTGCCCTGCGCTCAGTGAGGCTGGTCTGACACAAGCCAGGCGTCAGTGCTGGATGTTGACAGTATTTAAAGCTTGAGGTGCTTTGGTGAAAGTCAAAAGTGTTCCTGTATTACAGCTGCCTGTTAGAGCAACAATAGAGGAGTGGAGTTATTGGATGTACAGGTGTGTTATTAGCTTTATTCCAACATTGAAGTATGGAGAGACCTAGTCTACCTTTTATATCTAATCCAGTTTTCTATGAATTATTGGAGTTTTTCCTGCAGTGACCTATACTGTCTATGTGAGATGAATCAACAGACATGCTTTCTAGTTACATGAGACCATGGTCAAACTTATTGTTGGTTAAAAACCACGACAACCTTGGATTGCTATCACAAAATTGTGGTTTCACAGACATGAAGTTCTTGGACTTTTTATTGGCCGACATGTGGCTCAGAGTTTTCTCATGCATCTCAGAAATATGTTCAAAGTAGGATTAGGTTCATCAGACACTTTAGACTAGGATTGGCTCCAGCAGCCAAGTGGTCGATAATAGATGGGTTAAAGAGTAAATGTAAATTTGTATTATTAGATTTAAGGTAAATGTGCCGTTATAGACAGTTCTGAATTCTACTACACTACATAAAATTCATATCAAAGCTTTCTTTAGACTCTTTCTTAGGCATAGAACACTTTTTACGACTGCTCATTATAAGGCACTGGAGACAAAAAACACTGAAAACTGGGCTGATGTGTTTTACTGATAGATCTTTCTCCTCAGGAGTTTAAGAGGGCAAATCTGACTGTTAGAAAGTCTGCCTAACAACTCCTCATTAGCCGCCTCATTCTCAACACTGTGGCATCGTAGTGCTGCTCCAGCTGCAAACTGCCATAAGCTTTCACCTGCAGATTAGGTTGCAGTAAATTAAACTGCACTTGTTTTCTCATGTGGCTGCAGGGCAATCAATGCGCCCTCTCTGGAGTATTAATTTACTGTGTACAATATGGTACACATCCTTTTTATTATATCTATAATCAATGTGAGAATATTTTAAACTGATAATAAGCTGTGAAGACACACAGTGAATCATCTGTTTCTTAGTTTGTTTGCATAGGTCGACAATGTCAGCACTTTGGAGGTTATTTGAACATGAGGGACAAAGACAGGAGCACTGAATAGGACTGAAGGATTTGTTACATTAAGAGCAATTTAACAATGTTTGTGAACAATCTTACTTGAAATAGAATAGTTTATATAATATATATTAGTGGTTTTGTCTTTTAAAAATAAATACATCTGTTTATTCTCTCATTTTAATGTACTTAAAATTCACTCACTCAATATTAAACCAAGGCCTATTTAATTGAACACAACCCTGAAATAATCCCAGGAATTGAAGAAAGACACAAATGAAGATCTTTTTCAACAGCTCTTATTCTATCTTTTTATTAGTTTTATATGGCCTCTCCTGCCACCCAGTGGAGGAGAATTTAATTGTTCTGCCCATCAGTGTTGCATTGTTAAACAAAGACTAACTATTTGCACTAAAAAACTAATTTCAATTAAAACTAAGTAAATATAACTGCATAATTTTCCACACTTGATGAAATCTTACAGTGCAGAGGTTGTGAACCTCTGAATGGATGAAGCAGCACTAATAACATGAGTC